CGTCTCCAAAGTTTTTGTGATTGTTTAACACCGGAGTTCTTTCATTTTATTTATTTTTATATCTATCCATTTTGATTATTTTGTACATAAATATTTCACACTCTTGAATTTTTGTACCTACTTAGTTTTATATTCCAAAATTATTAATCTTGGTATTTTCAATAATAGCTCGTCTAACGAAATTCATACTTTTTCACCACGTATAAGCAGTATTTGCTGCTTCTGTGGGTTTTCTAATGTTTATTTACCTAATGTTAACTTGCTATTATTTCTGCCATTGTATTCTGATTCTGTCGAAATAAACATATTATTATAATTATTATACCGAATGTCAATTTGGATGCGCGCTTATAAAAAGTAGACCACATTGTTCATTATTTTCCTCTTATTTCCAGTTAACAAAACATATCTAGATATTTTGGGAAGTATTATATTTTCAGCCTAGGTTAATTTTTTTTAAGACTTTCGAAAATAATACTGTCAGTATATCCGTGTTCAATACTTCATCTCATATTTTGTATACTATACAGGGTGTTTCATAAGTACGTGCAGACAATTCAGGAGCATGTTGCTGACGTCAAAATCAAATATCATGTTAGTTTGTCTCTTTCGTGGGGGTGGCGCCACCTACATGTCTTTCGAGTCTTTTAAAAAGTCATAACTTTTTTGTGCGTACCTGTATAACGTTTCATTGTAGACAAATATATTTCTAGAACATTTTTGTGTAAGAAATATATTCCTGGTAGAGGTCGCTGCGAGCAACTGTTTTCGAGTTATTGGGATTCGAAATAATCGATGCATTTGAATTATTTCCATGTGGCTCGTAAGTCGCCTCTAGAAAAGATACGCCAGTGCATTTTTCTTCTTCCATTCAATATTTTCCTACATTCAACATTGTAATGTAGGCAAAATATGATTCTTACTTCTTTGTACCTACTTTTATACTCTTTCAATTAAAAAAATAACTATCAAGTGAGTACTTGTCATGTTATATCAATCCGTTCTTGTTTTTGAAGTTTGTTGTCTTCTGTACTTGTGATCCAAACTTTTTCTACTAACTGTTTTAGTATTAATTTGGACTGAATTACTGTTATCATTATGAGTAATAAATTGTAATAACACCCGATTCCTATTTTTCAATGAAATTAAAGAGAAATAATTCCCCTTACTTAATAAATCAATTTTGAATTCCAACTTCTTGTCATTCCAAATTACTTGCATTGATTATTTCAAATCCCAATAACTCGAAAACAGTTGCTCGCAGCGACCTCTACCAAGAGTATATTTTTTACACAAAAGTGTTCTAGAAATCTTATTTGCTACTATAAAACGTTAAACAAATACGCACGAAAAAGTTATGACTTTTCAAAATACTCTAAAGAAATGTAGGTGGCGTCATCCCCATGAAAGAGACAAACTAAAATAAAATTTGATATTGTCATCGAAAAATACCCCTACATACCAAATTTTATTCCAAAATCACATTTATTTATGAAGTTTATTGACGAAAAACAAAAATAAGAATTTAACTTTGACACTCTGTATCTCAGAAACGGATAACTTTCGGCCAACATACGAACTTTTCTTCTTACTTTGACGTCAGCAACATGATCCTGAATTTTCTACACGTACTTAAGAAACACCCTGTATATCTCTTTTCCCCCCGTATACTCATAATCAGTCATAGACAGACATGGATGGATTATAAAAATATATCGCGTTTCAGTTACGAATGTTGTAAACAATATCCAGACTTTTCATAGATTTATATTCTATGTTGGTCTCAGGATTCATATTTGAAATTGATTCTTAGTTTTAGATCCGAACAGCACATTGTTTGGCATGCAAGGTCCTTAATATAACCCACGTAATCGAACATGTATAAGATGCCTACTGGAAAAACTATACGAAAAGAAAGCGGATATGTAGCAATCTAGTTACGGACGTCGAAAATATTATTCAGTTATGTCTCAGATTCAACATCTATGTATTTCCTCAAATGATATGTTCTGATTCAAATGTATTTCGATTTAAATCTGATGTTCAGTTGCAGATTCAAGAAGCAGCGTTTGATACTTGCCACTCAATCGGAGAAAACCATCCAGTAAATACGGACCGAACAGAAGATCCGCAAAGAGAACTGACCAGAGTATACTTTACAGAATTCAGATCATTATATTCGTACGGAAGGCGATATATTGATTACCTTTCCAGATTCTCACGCAGACAGATAGACAGATATTCAGCATTATGTCTCTATGGAAACACGACAGGTACCCTTACGAGGGGAGAGTATCAACTCAGCGTTTATAAACCCTCTCTGCAAAGGAGGTAGACGCATGGTGGGTTAGGTATATACAGTGTTTTTCATTGCAGAGAAAATTGTTGTTTATCTGCCTGTCTCGTCTTCATTGAGATAGTTGATGAATTACAAAAATATATCGCGTTCCAGTTACGAATGTTGAAAACAATATCCAATATTCTATGTAGGTCTCACGATACAAATTGAAATTGATCCTTAGTTTTAGATCAGAGCAGCACATCGTTTGGCCTTCAAGGTCCTTAATATAACCCACGTACGTAATTGAAAATGTGGAAGATGCCTACTGGAAAAAACACTATTCGGAAAGAAAGCGGATATGTAGCAATCTAGTTACGGACGAGAATATATTATTCAGATATGTCTCAGATTCAACATCCATGTAATTCATCTCATGATATTTATTTTCTGATATTAATGTACTTCGATTGATATGTGATATTCTGTAGCAAATCAGAGAAGCAGTATTTGATATTTGCCACTCAATCGGAGAAAACCATCCAGTCCATACGAACATACACTGTATATGTATTCATTTTTCATCCAACTCATACGTTAACTGTCACACGTCATCGGTCATCTGTCACCGGTCATCAACTGACATCTGTCATCGGTCATCTGTCATCTGTCATCAAATTGCAGAATTTTCAAAAATGCCTGATGTCATAAATTATACCGGGCATAGTTTCAGAAGAACCTCGGCAAGTTTACTTGCAAATTCTGGAGGAGACATTCTTGCTTGGAAGTCTACGAATATCGCTGAAGGGTATGTGCAGCAATCTCTCACAAGATAGCCAAATATTTCGAACCAAATTGTAGGTCTCTGAAGTTTTTTATGAAAATATCACGAAAACTGCATTCTTCTAGTGATATTCAAATAACCACTGCTCAAAACTGCACTTTTAACAATATTTTATGTAATTATTATTTCACCACAAATTGAAAATATGTAGGATGCAAGAGTGAAAATAACGTGCCCATAAGTTATACTGTATACCTGCTTCTTTGTTACTTTCATCAATAAATTATTTGGAAATGACTTTTTATTCAAGGGAGACGAAAAAATCATGGGTAAAGTATATTCTATTCTTCATTTTCCTGCAATTTCACGTATAACTTTTTATAAGCCTACTTTTCGTCCTAGAGTTAGTCACTCCATAAATTTTTCTCCGAGTTGGATTTCCGAAAATATATTTAGCACACATGACATGAGTACAGTAGTTCAGATACCCACATCGAGGTTTTCACCATTTCTCAATCATAAGGCTCAGCTTCAGTCAACCCTGGTATACAATCTAAGAACAGTCTCTTTTGGTGAAATTAAGCTTTTTAGTACAAATTATATGTTCCCTACCTCGCAAAGATTATGCTGGAGTAGTAAACTCTAAAACTAGAGGATTGTTCAACTATATCTTGGTATAGTTGAATCTTGGAATTCCATATGGAAATTACGTATGATACGCCAATGACCTCAATATAACCTAAAAAACAACAAATGTCAAAAATCTAGTGTTTATCCCCAGAATTGAATAAGGATGGAACTATATAACTATTTCACAAACACTTTAGAGTGAGAGGAGACGAGGATCTGTCCGTACCCTGTTAAGATGACTTTAACGTCAATTTCCATCAAGGGACTTTAATTATATTTTTTTTGTTAATATGCATAGTAGTTTCATTTGTATGATAAATGCAATCCAATAAGCCTCAACATCGACATAATTAATACAGATCAAAATGAAAATAATTGTGTAGCTTAATGTTCAACTTCGAAAAATAATGATGTTATCGCTATGAAGAAAGAGTACAATATTTAAGTAGAAAATTTATTATAAAATGGCAATTCCGCCAGTAGCGTCAGATTGGGAAGGGTCAACCAGTCGCTTGCCTGTGGTAGCAGCCAGAGAAGTTTATTTCACATACTTTCGTGGGGTGTATGGTATCTACACTTCCCGCCGAATATGACAATGATACCTCAATTAGTTTCAAAGTTCTAGGCACGAATAATTTATAAATTTTCAAATAAAACACCCTGTAACTCAGACAGGAGATACATTTTATCTAGGTGATTTGGGTTGAATCTTCATATTTTGAGCTTGAGATCCTACAGTTGAAATAGTTCCAATAAGCAATTGAACTCCATGTATAAAGAGAGATAGAGAGAGTCTAGCAAAAGGAATAGTACAAAAAGGAAGAGTGGCAGAAAGTTAAAGGAGTGAAGAAATTGCGCATGAAAGAAAGAAGTTTTGGAGGAAAAGAAAGAAATTTGCAAGACACGTGGTATTCAGGATGAAATAAACATGTAATTGATTTTTTTTTTGAGAGCGAGGATCGTAACACGGTCGATTGTCATAAAGTACTTGAGATGATGAAGATACTTTTCTACGCCCAAATGATTACAATTACCCCCATTATCATATTCCAACCATAATCTCACCACTCACGATATCGTCAACTAGTGAAAACCAATCCGAATGTAAGATTGAAATTGAATGTCATCAGAATCACATTCCCTTTCAATCTTGCACCCTAATCAATCTCCAACAAATCTATCCGACCAATCGACGCTCCACATTCGACCAGAACAATCATCATAAATGACTGCGGAATAAACATACAAAATACAAACACAGGGTCGGTTATAAAGTCAAATATCATATAAACGTCAGAACGGACTTACTTCCTAATTTTCATGTCCAACAGCCATTTCTCCTTCTTCTGCTGGGCGCAACTCTCCAAGGAGCTCTCGATCTGCCTGATGACCGCCTTGTTTTGCAACAGCTCGTTGCAGATGAACGCCAAAATCTCCACCTTCGTGGTGGGTGACAGCGACATGTACGGTTTGTGCTTTAGCAGGTCGCTCAGTTTGTATGTGGGGTTGTTGTGTAGCACCTTGAAAAAACATTATACTGTTTCACCACTCCCCAAACAATATTTTCATATATAATACCACAAGTGATAATATTTTGCCGGAAATATTCGGTGATTGTTACGACAGCTTGTTGCCTAGTAATTTCGTGAACGACATTGTTATCAAAACTACGAGCCGTAGGCGAGTAGTTTTGGATCAATGTCATGAGCGAAATTAGAGCAGCAAGCTGGAGTATGTCAATCGACGAATATTTCCAGGAAAAATAGTATCACGAGTTGTATTCGTATGACTATTTCATGATTGAATGAGACAATATATATAAGAAATTGGAAACATAATTTAAGTATATTCCAACTCAAACTGCGAAGAAGAACATAATGATAGTAATGAAATACAGAATTAAATTTTTTAGAAATTAACTACCTACTTATAGTAATTCACAAAGTGGAATGTACAATTTTGATGAACAGTATTTTGTTTATTATCTTGGAGATGGTTGCTCTCAAAAAAATGTATACATTTGCTATCTAATTCGAACAAAATAAATTGAATTTATGTGACATGAAATAATTAAAAAAAAAATTATTGTCGCCGACGGGCTTGAACCACCGACCTTCGTATCACCGCGCAACAACCCTATCAGTTGAGCCACATCACCATGATTTTATTGGTCACAATAACTTGAGTCACTGAAGAAGATTACATCAAATGGGAATTTGAATTCTAGTATTGTTGTCAGACCGTCAACAAATATGCAAACTTATTAAATTACACATGAAACGTCCAGCCAGAATGAAATTGTCTCGCCTTTCGTACAAAATGTCTCACTAACGCGAATTATAAGTAAATAAAATGAAGTAGGTACTTAGGTTATTGTCTCTTGTGTCAGATTTGAATACAAAGCAATCTTGACCAGACACGATGTCAAAATTTTATCGCTGATAAACGAGGTTTGTTGGTCACGTGTGGGTCAATTCGGATTCTGTATTGGTAGAGCAAGTCCGATAAAATTAAATAAACAAAAAATATCGCTAGAATACAGAAGAAACCGTGAAAATGGTCGATTCTGATTGGTTCTCGAGATCAAGAGTGGAATAGTCAATGTAAAAACTTCACGAACGATAAGATTTCCACAAAATTTTCAAACACACTACATGTTTCGCCAACATAGTAGCATTGTCAGGTGATATACTGGTACGATGAACTAAACTAACCTTGGCTTGCTTATATATCCTACTTTCCCAACCTGAAGGATTAGTTACCTGTGGACAGGTACGATGAAACTCCATTTTCGGAAATTAGGCACAATATCTACATTAAAATACGGTGTACCCGATTAACTTGAAAGGGTTGATATCAACTACATATTATTACTTACTAAGAAAACAAATTCAACAGTGGTAAACTATTGAGGTCTAATTGATCGTTAAATAAAATGTCAGAATTTTTGAGTTTGTTGATTTCTAATTTTTCAAAATGATTGAGTTTCATTCCTTCATTTTGTACGTGTAGAATTTCGAAATTATCATCAAAGCTATGGTTTTCTTCTAATATATGGTTGGCGTATGTTGAATTTGTTTTCTTCTTCAAAAAATTCATTTTATGTTCATGAATGCGCTGATTAAACGTACGACCTGTCTGACCGATATATACCTTAGGACAAGATCTACAGTTGAGTTTGTATACCCCTGATATTTCTGATTCTCAAGTTAATCCGGTACACCGTATTTCAATGAAGATATTGTGCCTCATTTTCGAAAATGGAGGTTTATCGAAACTGTCCACAGGTAACTAATCCTTCAGGTTGGGAAAGTAGGATATATAAGCAAGCCAAGGTTAGTTTAGTTCATCGTACCAGTATATCACCTGACGAAGCTACTGTGTTAGCGAAACATGTCGTGTGTTTGAGAATTTTGTGGAAATCTTATCGTTTGTGAAGTTTTTACATTTGCCATGGATTTCCATCAAGAAGTAACGGCCGATTCAATTAAAAAAACAGTTTTCAATGTTTTGACAAGTGATTTGTTAATCTCGTTAGCGTCTTCGGAAGAACATTGAAGCTAATTGGTCTATTCTAAAGTTTCAATTGAAAACAAAATACTCCGTTATGACTAAATCCATCTACAGATTTACTGAAAAGAAATGATTTTCAATGCATTTTGACGAACGTTTCGGTAGTCAGTCGACCAGCACAAAATTCAACAGATATATGCAATGGAAAATTGAGTATTCAGCTGGACCAAATCATTCCTCACAATGCAGACTGTATGCCACGTCCACAATCCAGCTGAGCTTGTTAAAGAGTGAAAACAGGCGCTCTCTACAATGTATAGTAGTCCAGTTCATTTAATTTTATTCCTAATCTGTTTATAACACCACTACTACATTCAACTGTTTCTAGGCTTCTATATTAGTTCAATTTCATCCATTACAAACATATTCTGCAGGCTATACTGCAGGAGAAGGAAACATTAGTCCAGTTGAATACTTCATGACCCATCGCGTATATCTTATATTTTGCGCTCGTCGACTGTCTATAGTATCTTACTTCAAAGCACATTGAAAAATCTGTATACCGGCAATTTTCTTCCACTTCTATATGAAAAATGAGGAATTGGCACCCAATGGTACTCGCTGCGTGAATTTGGCAAATCTGCTGAAAGTGTAACTTGTTTCTTAACTCACACAAGTCTCTGACTTTCGAGGGTTGCTTTGCAACTAAGCTGGCGGTTAAAAACACTTTTAAACACTTTTTTTTTTTTACGTTTACTTTGAACTCAATTCTTTCAAAGATTCTAGGTATGATGAGTATTCAGTATTCCAGTCCAGATGATTTGTTTTAATTTTAAAAATTTCATTTTTTATTGGAACCCTAACCTTACCCAATCCAATGTGTCGTTGGCATCTGTCATCTCCATAATTGTTATAAAAGGTTTGTTCATTTTTGTTACCAAATCCGCTGAAGTTTTATTTTTGTATAGTTATCTCTGTTCACCGCATAATGTGACCAGAGAAAAAAAACAAGGTTTGCAATTCGAGTTAACAATTAAATAGGCCTAATAATTCCCTCATACGAAGTCTTCAGGAAAGAATTCTAAGAACACAAGCCGTAGCCCTGTCAGTATAATATAAATACACTCACCGGCAAAAAAAACAGCCACCAACACATTTACCCAAATTGTTCACTCTGTGATTTTATTTTACTCACTAAAAATGTAATTTCAACCTGTTCGTTTTTTAGTGTATTTTAGTATTTTGAATATCACTCAAATTTTATATTAATCAGGAATTCAGAAATTCATGATCATCACACTAGACAATATAACTTATTTCATCTTGAAGCTGCAAATTCTAAACTTGGGCAAAAAAAGTTTACACATGAGGCGATTTCGAAATTCAATAAATTACCAGATGATATCAAAAACAGCCCAAATATTATGCAATTCAAAAATTAAGTTAAGAAAAATATTTATATACAAAGGAATGATCAAAGCTGAAAGACTATGAATTTCCTTTTTTCTTTGTTTTTCAATGTTTTTATTTTTCCCCTTCTTGTTTGCTATAATATGACTGTATCTTAATGATATGTAAGTTTTGTTCACTATTTGTAATTTCAATTATACAACAGTCGATAATACTTCATGAATGATCTTATACCAGGAATTACTGTCTGATCATTCATGTCATTCCTACTAGAAAATTAATTATACTTTATAAATTATATGTATAAAATGTATCATAGGCCAAGCCGTAGAGAATTTTTGGAGGAAATAATTAGAGGAAAGCTGAATTTTTATTTAAAGCTTCGTTTTGGAGTTCTAATTACCCTGCTAAGTTTTCCCCCTCCAAAACCCTCTGCGTTGGCCGCCATATTGGAAGAAAGGTACAAAAATTCAGTGTTTGTCTAATATCTCCGTATCCATTTGTCCTACAAGAAAAATGAATCTCATCGTTTTTGAAGAGAACCAAATTCTCTATAAAAAAGTATCCATACATTTTATAGCTGAGACGTACCGTTTCGACTCTATCACCAAGAAAAGTACAGAGATTCCGCGCGTCCGTACGAAATATCGTTGTCCGGTCGCCGTACCTCCCTTTTCGCATCACATAATTCTCACTTTTGATTTTTTTCAAGTGAATATTGTGTTTATTGATGAATTCAAATGTTTTTGACCGATGTTCAACTATATCTACCCATTTCCACACCACCTTGCGGTAGAGCATACGGCGCGTTTTTTTTAGGTGGTATCCCCTGTAGGCCTAGTCCACCTCACCAAGATAAGTCTATTCATATTGAAGACGTGGAGGTTGACAAAGTTATTCATCACTAATCTCTTGAATATAAATGTCGTGGTCATACTGGGCACATCCCTCATTCTCCTCGTTTATGGAATGGTCTGAATTAATGACAATATCCAGATCATCATCTACATTGTCTATTCTGTCATCTACATTCGTGCAAGATAGGCCTCGACAATTGTAGCAGATGGTGGTACACCGCAGACCAACTTTTCTACAGCTACAAGCTGCTTTGCATCCTTTTGTACACTTGCATGAGATAGTTTTGAGTAACGTTTGCGGAGCAGCGTCTTTGGTAGAAGTAATAGGTAACAGACCGTTCTTAGTAGTCTTCCAGCCCCAATCTTTCGGATTCTTTTCAATTCCATACCATTTTTGAACTTGGTAATACGTTCTTAGAGAATGCTGCCGTGCCGCGGCTTTTGTTGGAGGTAAGGACGCAAGATTCACAGAATTTTTGCATAATGATTTGGCAAATATCTGGAATCTCAACTCATCCAACGAGATCTCTTCGTTTTTTTCTCCGTATAGAGCTGCAATTAATGTTTGTCCAGCCGCATCAATCGCATTTGGATGTGCTTCTGGATCCTTGAAGATTTTGACAATGTTCTGCAATTTCTCGTCATTTTTTATTAGTTTGACAAATTTCATCTTTCCTTGCCTAAAAAATGAGAAAGTTGTGTCGCAGCCACTGAACGCGTGTAAAAATAAAATATTGTCTCGTACAATCGTATTCAGATCTTACAGTTTTTAAAGCAGCAGCAATGTTTTTTTCCTTACTGTATGATTTCTGACACTTCACATGCACAGTTACACGTTGCAAACCTTCAAGCTGAATTGCTTTATTATCACGCCTGATTTCGCTACATTTTTTTAAAGTTTTCAGTCCTCTTTCTTTTACTACAATGCTTTCACTTTCAGATAAAGTCATCTCACAAATACAACAATTATTTATCTCCGCCATTTCAATAATTTCCAGAAAAAATCACAAGCACAATGAATGAAACGAGCACAAAATTCATGTAGCGATAATCAATGTCTCGGCTATACTGATTAGATCAGATCCTGCTAAAAAGTCCCTACCAATAATAAATCGCGGGTACATCCTACGCGAAGGTGGGGGGTTTGTTTGAAGCCTAAGAAATACATCGTATGCTAATAAAGTTTTTTTATTTCTCGATTATAGTGGCAAAATTGAATTTCTAGTGAAGAGTAGTGAAGCTGAACATTGGCAATGATGGTAATTCTTAGGCGGTTGCAATTACGGTGACCGGGCAACGATATTTTGTACGATCGCGCGGAAACTTTGCACTTCTCGCGGCTATAGCGTCGAAACGGTAAGTCGTAGCGATGAATTATAAGAAAACATTTTTATAGAGAATTGAGTTATCTTGAATATCAATCATAGCTATTTTCGATGTAGGACTAACGAATACGGAGATATTAGCCAAAAACTGAATTTTTGCACCTTTCTTCCACCTTTCTTCCAATATGGCGGCCAACGCAGAGGTCTTTGGAGGGGGAAAACTTACAAGGATAATCAGAAACCCAAAAGGATGCTTTTGAAAAAAAAAACAGCTTTCCTCTAATTATTTCCACCAAACACTCATTTTTTGTCTCTGGCGCTTGGCCTATCAATGAAGAAGAGAATGAAATGCAATAACTGAAATAACTGAAATAACTGAAAAATCAATTATCTTTATTTCACAAATTAAGTATGTGATTTTTAACATGTTTGTGTTTCAATAGTGCTTTCAGCACCTTATTTCTCAGATGTTCGTTTGTTAACAAGTTCATTTGACGCCAGTTCATTTAATTGTTTTTGTATATTGTAAATGTATGAGTACACTTCTTTGAATAAAGCAATCTATCATGTCAAGTGTATCCACACTCTTTAAAGTTCGTGAAATGAGATGTTCGATGCACTCTAGATCAATAGCTAGTGGTGGAAAATAGTAGATTGTTTTATTAGGATCAAAAGTGACACTTTGTTTGACAAGCGAATTTTGCATTTGCGAGGCGGAGCGTTTAGCGAAGCCGAGCGAAAGCGAAATTTGCGAGTCGAACAAAGTCACTTTTGATCCGAATGGAACATGCGATTTTTTCTGCAACCGAAACAATTAACTCAAATAAACATGTGAAGTAACCACCAATGCCGTGCTATATGAATGCAATGCAACAAATATTGACAAATAATCCATGTGGTGAGAATATTCTAGCTGCATTAACAGCAGGTTAGGTTTTCAAGGATGTTCGAATTGTAGTTTCAATATAAAAACAACCACAGAGTGACATATTTGTGTATAGACCAGGTGCTCTAATGGCAAATACCGCGTCAGTGCCACCTACAGGAACAAGACGTGGAATCGTGGAAAATGTTAGGTTAGTGAACATATCAACAATGATAATGGTGATTATTTATTCCTCTCCATACTACACTGTGTTTGACTTGATAATCAAATGAAGCTAAACAATATCGTTGTTTGAGACAAAAAACTATTGCTTGCCGAGATTACTCAAAAACAAGTTATCCATCCCGAGAATAACGAATGAAATACAGATCAAGCAAGTAGTATTTGAATCTTGAAGGCTTCCCTGATCGAAACAAAAATACTTAACTGAGATGTTCATAATTCCAATACTAAACTATAATAGGGTGTATTTATATCTCCAGCATGGGTATGAAATGCCAAATCTGCTGAAATCGGAAACAAATCAGGTATGCGTCTCAACCCAAATAACCAACCGTTACAATGTTGTTTATTCTTGATGACGTACAGTACATCCTTTTTAGATCCTAGGAGCTAAAGTTCAACTTTAGCTCCTAGGAATTAAAATTCAACTTTAGCTCCTAGGAACTAGATATGTTGCCTAGCAACATACCTATTTTTGTGTCAGTAATGGAAACGTCAATTTAAGAGCTAATTTTGGTATCAAAATGGGCGACTTTTGTGTCGGTTGCAGGAAAACACTTTTCAATCACCTCGTAGTACATGGCGTTCTTGCCGGCCTGCGTCACCGACATCTCGTCGTCGGTCTGATGATGATCGGCCACCCTTTTCTCCCTGTCGCGCTCGAAGTGCACTCCCGTCAAGGCTTTCACCTCGCCGGTCGCGTTCGCGTACAGGTAGATGCGCAGGATCTCCGAGATGTTGGTGGGGGTGATGTCCGCCTGGCGCAGGCTCTGGCCCAGCATCGTCGTGTACCTGGCGAACGACAAATTACAATGAACTCAATATAAACACCTGGAAGGGAGACTGCCGGTTTCTCGAAAAGCATGTCAGGGGCAGCTGCAACATGTTATATGTTCAGAATACACGTTGTTTGTTAACTTTATTGATGAACATACCGGGTGTCAACGAATCTATTAGACAAGTCATAACTTCTAGACCATTAGGTGTATCAAAATGAGATTTGGTATAGATTAATGGTATTGAAGAGGAGAGTTTTCATATATTTTTCACTTTCCGGTCACTTCCGGTTTTACCGGAAATGGCTCCGGTTCTAAATATTCAAATGGAACACCCTGTATATTGTAAAATTTTTTTCAGAATGTGACATTTTCGAAAGTTTTTATGCCTTCTTAATTGTTTGGGAGTCACTTTTGAAATTACATCCAGGTGGCCATGATCAGAAGTAAACTGATCTAAGGACCTCAGGTGATATCAGAAAATTACAATCGCGAAGTTTTAGTGACAAGTATGATAGATATGAATAAGACTTGTTGGCAAAATTACATTTTCGTGTCTAACTATTATTTTTCAAATGGCGACCATTTTTTGACAAACACTTTCCGAAAAAAGGATATTTTGACGAATCTAACGATACTAATTTGTTTGCGATTGGATTACAAATAAGAACATGAATTAAATATTACTGACGAAAATATAATAATTTATTTACTTTTGTCAAGTGTGCCGAGGATAGGCATGATGCATAATATTTTGCAGTTATTTCGATCAAGCCTTCTTGGGAGAACAAAACACTCACTTAGGTTATGACAGCGACATAAGCTTCAAGAGCAGAAGGTGAAATTTTCTTGATTTTCGTTGAATTTTAGTTCAATTTTCCGTCAAAATTATCTACCTACCCCCTCATAATACCAGATACGTTCTTGATTACTTAATAGAGCATTTCAATAATCAAGTTATTGCAACCAATGGACCGGTACGGTGGCCTGCCTGCTCACCGGATCTGACTGTGCTAGATTTTTTCATTTGGGGATATGTTAAAGAAAGGGTCTACACTGCAACAGCCCCAACCACTCTCGAAATCTTAGAAGAAAGGATTCTACAGGCATTTAGAAGTATAACGCCACAAATCTTACGAAACGTGTTGAGAGAAACAATTGAACGAGCTGAAATGTGTCTTGAATTAGGAGGAATGCACTTTGAAAATTTACCATAGTGAAAACTTTAATAAATTAGGAAATTGAAAAAAATGTAAGTGCATCGCTGGAGTTATTGTTAATTTTGTTAAATTTGTTGATCCGATCGCAAATAAATTAGTATCGTTAGATTCGTCAAAATATATTTTTTTGGGAAGTGCTTACAAAAGTAAATGAATTATTATCCATGGCAAACTTGACAAAAGTAAATAAATTATTATAAAGTATTTTCGTCAGTAATATTTAATTTATGTTCTTATTCGTAATCCAATTGCAAATGAATTAGTATCTTTAGATTCGTCAAAATATCCTTTTTTCGGAAGGTGCTTGTCAAAAAATGGTCGCCATTTGAAAAATAATAGTTAGACACGAATATGTAATTTTGCCAACTTGTCTTATTCATATCTATTATACTTGTCACTAAAACTACGCGATTGTAATTTTCTGATATCACTTGAGGTCCTTAGATTAGTTTACTTCCGATCATGGCCACCTAGATGTAATTTCAAAAGTGACTCCGAAAAAACTAAATAGGCATAAAAACTTTCAAAAATGTCACATTCTGATCTAGAATTGTCTCAGGAATCCAAAAATGTTACAATATACAGGGTGTTCCATTTAAAAATTTAGAACCGGAGCCATTTCCGGTGAAACCGGAAGTGACCGGAAAGTGAAAAATATGTGAAAACTCTCCTCTTCACATACTATTGATCTACACCAAATCTCATTTTGATACACCTAATGGTCTAGAAGTTATGACTTGTCTAATAGATTCGTTGACACCCGGTATAGAGAAAGTATAATATTATATTATATAAAATTACGACAGTTATTGAGTGACTGTAATGAACCGGAGAGTTATATTTTTCAAACAGAAAACGGGGGACTGTATCGGCGAAACAGGATACATTTACGCCCTGGACAAGAGAATCGTCAATAAGAAGGAAGGAGAGAGAAAGAAGGAAGTAGTTGAAGAAAGAGCACCAGAAGATCGAAGAGAAGATATTGGAGAAAGAAGATTCCAAGCAGAAGAGTCTGCTACGAGGTCTTAGAATGTTCGATCAGCTTTAAGGTGAATGACCAAACCACCTTCGATATATAATTGTTGATTTTATGTCATATTATCTTGAGGAGGCATGTTGCATTACACTCCGTATTATGATAATACCAAGGTGATGATTATTGATTGAATTGTAACTCAATAACTGTCGTAATTTTATATAATATTTAGGCTGTTTTTGATATCATCTGGTAATTTATTGAATTTCGAAATCGCCTCATGTGTAAACTTTTTTTGCCCAAGTTTAGAATTTGCAGCTTCAAGATGAAACAAGTTATATTGTCTAGTGTGATGATCATGAATTTCGGAATTCCTGATTATTATATATGGCACAGTGGAATAATATCAAAATCATAGGAAAGGAAGATAACAAACAAAAAAGAAAAATAAAGGAATCCGCTTGCATTCTTCTAAACGGAGACAATAGCATTGCTTCCTGTTCAGTTGATATTGATAGAACATGGTATTCACTACTGAAAACTGAACATGAAAATGGTAGATTCAAGATCAATTAATGAAAACATCCTGTAACTCATTTGTAGACTAAAATCACTCATTCATATGCCAACATCAGTATGACATTGAAAAGTGTCAAACTATACGCAGCAAAAATTTCAAAGAAAAATAATTTGCATTTACATGTTGAGAACGGGAGCAGAATCGGTCCCGAAACGTCCAAAGATAAGTACAAATTCGATATTTTTTCAATATATCTATATTTCTTTCCTTCAAAAAATTTTTTCAAACAAATTGTCACTGACAAGCTACTGGATTTTTTTTCTTTTAGACTCCCTGATAGAAAAATTTGTTAAACGCAGTGACATTTTGGGGCAAATCATCTGATTTGTCCCTCTACAAATATATTGAAATAATACGAATACTTTCATTTTATAGAAACGAGGAGAGAAAATCCCAAAGAACCAAGTAAAATGAATCCTGATTATTATAATTCTCTATTTATATAAGTATTCAAAATCGGTTGTCAATTAGCAGTGATACTTCAAACTCGTTTGAGAACAGTTTGGTACGAAATGTTTTCAACAGATAGTTGCTGTAATATAAAGGATTCATTATGATAGTGAACCTTTTGAAATGGTAGGAGAGATTATATATAATACCAATCATTCTGTTAATTGATGTAATCCAGCAAGCATTCAAGTTATCTTTTTTCGGGAAGCGGAAAAAATTATGTTAGTCCCATTAGTGCTTCTATTTGTATTTTATAAACCAGAAATGGCACAATTATCATTGTTACCAGTTCATGATGTTGAAAATTAAACTAAGCTTCAATTTGTTTTGGAATGAATTCTATAGCGAATTCCATTGGCAGGAACTGGTGGAGTGCTTCTGCACTCATTGTATATGTTTCCTTCTTACTCGCAGGTGTTAAACAGAGGTACCTAAGTATACACTCAGTGGAGAAACACTCCACCAGTTCCTGCCAATGGAATTAGAAAATTTGAAGAGTTCAAATAATGATGACAGTGACAGTGAAGTTCTGTGAGTTGACCGATGACGAACTCCTCAATGTGCATTCGATTTCGGTCGGAACGTTAACATTTCGTTTTCGGATACGGAATGGGCTACCATTGTAGCAATTTTGTTCTTCGAGGAGATACTTTCTTCAATACAATTCTCTGCTACCGTACTACTCATCCATTTTAAATGTAATTTTAGTGATTCAAAGGTAGCACCACCTTGAACAAGAAGCGTTGACGACGTTCGGCGTAGACAATGTCCGGTGTAACCTTTCGGGTTTTCCAAAATGAGGAGTTTTGCTATGATAGAAGGAACACTCCCTATAGTATTTTCACCTACAGGTAAATCAATGCATTTACTACTTCTGTAAATACCTTGTTTACATCCTTTTAGTCGAAGTGCAATAGTGGAATAACTATGTTCAAGGCTCCTATTTCGTTTTCTCGAACAATGGTGAAACTTTCTGAGGTGCAGGTCTTGGTTTCTGGTACCTTGATCAGTAAAACGGCTTCAATGTCATCAATTGTCATCTTGATCATTTCATCACGTCTTAAGCCTCTAAATACACCCATTACCAGAACAACTTTATGTGGCAGAAAAATATCATCTGCAGCTTCTCTTATGAGAAGTAATACTTTGATTTTTTAGGAATGTATCATTTTGATTTAACTTTCAGAAAGGCCATCAGTTGACTGAGTGCTGATATATTGATGTTTTCTTCAACAATGCTGTGAGTATTGGCACTATATTTTTCAGACTGAAATAATGTAAAATAAATAAAAAATATTGATATTTTTCATAAGATAAACTCATCAGTTCATGGAAGTATGCCATTAAGACAGTTTTATTTACGGTATTCACTCTGTTTACATCTTTCCATTTCAAAAATGGACATACTCCTTCTCGTATAAATATTTGGAATTCACAGGCAGTAAATTTCCTAACGCTTTTTCAGCTTCGAGCGTCACATTCTGTGGGATCTCCATAATTATAATGAACACAACCGTTATTAGTTTCCTTCACAAACAAGCTTGTAATTCTTACAAAAATGCAGTCGTTTTATTGAATAAACAACCCTTAGCAACCTCTTCAATGTTTCCATAGCAACTGCATAGAAGCTCACTTGTGCTCAGTTGCCTGCCAGAACGCAGTAAAAACTATGAGAAGAAATTTAGGCAGTAAACAACGTCATTTGAGATAATTGTTTCGTGAAAAATAAAACCTTGTATGCACCACGAGCGTTACTACCTCCAGTAGCTCCTAGGGTCCCTTGATGTAAATTGACGTATTTGTCATCGTAACAAGGTACGGACAGATCCTCGTCTCCTCTCACTCTAAAGTGTTTGTAAAACAGTTATATAATTCCATCTTTATTCATTTCTGGGGATAAACACTAGATTTCTGACATTTGTTGTTTTTTAGGTTATATTCAACTCATCATATTATATCCAAATGATGATATAATTTTCGAGTTTTTGATTTTTCAACTCCAGCATAATCTTTGTGAGGCAGTGAGCTAATTTTTCTGAAAGTTTAATACGTTCTACCAAATGGGACTGTTCTTAGGCAGTACCTATCAATAAATGAATTTTGTTTTCAGACTAAGCCTTATGCTTGAGAAATGGTGAAAAATTGTTTGTAGGTATTCAAACTAATGTGCTCAAATGTCATGTGTGCTTTATATATTCATTGTGGGAATAATTTTTGCAGTTTTTCATGAACACTTAATATTTCCTGAATGTAGGTATAATTTTTTCTTCTTTTGATCCTCCGTTTTAATCAAAACTGTTTCTACTAAAATGCATTCAAAAACTTGTGGAGTGGTTAATTAATTATAGGCACAATGAGAAAGCATAATATGTGATTTCGTATTAGTTGTACCTCGAATATTTTTCGGTCACTTCACTTTCTATGTTCTAAGTTCATGTGCATTTAATGGAAAGCTGACAAATTCAAATTTGCCTTTCAACTGATTGATACATTCATTTCAATTGATTTTTTGGGATTTTCTCTCCTCGTTTCTATGAAATAAAAATATGCGTATTATTTATTGATACAGCCTAACGCAGGACATTTCACCATCCTTCCAAAACAGAATTGAATGATGTCGTATTAAAATGAAGTATGAAATAAAAATTTTGTGAGATCTCTTTTAACGCCTATGAATGTGAAGTGACAGCAATGTCATGTCAGGGACGCCAATACACGAAACCAAAGTCACTAGATGATCAAAAGAGAAAGGAGCTATGATCTGTCCGTACCCTAGTAGATGAAAAATACGTCAGTTTGCATCAAGGGACCCTACTAGCTCCTAACGCTCATCGGACAGCATTCATCCCAAGGGCCAATAACTATTGTTTCTTATCAGTGGCTTATTAAAAACCGTTCAATCCTGTTGCCAAACCTTGTACATTTCCACCATGATCGGGATAAAGTCCACGAGGACGGTACATACCTCGCCGGATTGGGTATGCCGGGATCCTCGATAGCGCACACCAGCAGATGCGTCATCACCGAGAACAGCTCGTCCTCGGCCTCCTGCGAGTGCTCGCTCGGCAACAGGGCGCGCTGCAGCGCCGCCAGCGTCGGCAGCGAGTCCATGTCGAAGCCCAGCGTCTCGCCGAAGTTGTGCAGGAACTCGAACACCATCAGTGTGTCGGAAAACGCTTTGCCCGACAACCGCAAGCCTGCCCAAACAGTGAAATGTGTAGATCGATTGAACAGCAATGAGCATATTTCTGCGCTAATATACTGGCCATTAATGACAGATTAGGTATAACGTTTTTTTTTCAAGTAGGCATCTTTCAAGTCATGATTTTTATGGGTTTTCATCGGGGTTTCAACATGTCCTAGACAATTATCTGATCGTGCTCGTATGCAGCGGCGTCACCAATCAAATTTGAATTTGCATTAAAAATTGATCATTTCGAACAGTTGGAAACTTTTTAAAATCATTACTTGAAACATATAAATTCGACATTGAGTAAATTCGCGATAACTGCACATATTCGGATGCGGTTTTCTGCATTTTGAAGATAAATCCATTGTGTATATGAGTACTAGACCGATGATGACAATACATGGTGACATCTGGCTATACCGGGTGAGAAACAAACCTCTGCAAAATATTTAAAAATTCTCCATGTTCCCAATCTGATGGACATGTTTTGTGACTTTTATCAATCATACTTTTCAAGCACATTGCTTCTCTCATCTCTTCAAGTATTGATGAAAATATTTTTTTTAAATGAGAGAATTTGTACATTTGAACAGAAAAAAAATGTATTGCACCGCTAATTTCAGGGATTTTCATAGATTTTTCATTTGATGGGTTGTTGTGACCTATACAAGGTATTTTAGAACAACGTACCATTATTTGTACAGGGTGTACTAGAAGCCAAAATAGCCAGATTGAAATCAACTTATCTCTATACGAAAATGTCCCGTTGAGTCGTTTGAGGCGTTGTAGCACAATTTTATTTCCATATTTTCTTGCATATTTCAAAATCCTTGAAAAGTACTGCCCTAAAATTCGAAGGGCAATTTACAATTGTGAAATAGGTATTTCGCATTCTCTTTGATGAAAATTGATTCAACTTTTTTGGGGTACGCCACTGACCCAATTTCGATTACGTTGGTGATTACGAGTATGATGAATCACGGAATGAACGGTAGAAGATATGAGATTAGTAGGCGGTCAGTCAGTTGTAGTCAGTGGAGTGACAAGGTTGTAAGGTGTCGGTGTCAATAAAGGTGGTGTTGTATTGATTATGTGTGTGCGCCTCACTACCTGCTCCTTACATATATTTTTATTACAGTGATTTGCAAAAATATTAGATCGATATTATTACAGAAAGATCGATCACATTGATCTACTTGAATAATGTTCAAGAATGAATGACAGGAATTCTCCTCGACATTACACACAGGATGATACAAGGTCGATGGAACTTCGATAGTTTATAAATGTATGTGATCTATCAACAAAGACTTCTTACTCACTCAGTGTTCCCAAGTTCCCAATCGTATTTCATTAATGCTATGGTCTGCCCCTACTTACGAAATAGTGACGTAAGTTTTTACTCGCGGTAAATTTCTATCCGTTTGGAAATTACCGTCGCATCATTGATGATTTTAGTGTTGGGTTTATCAACAAAAATCAAAAGGGAATGACTCTGTATTGTATATGTTCGTTCATTATATTACCATTATATAATTGAAATTGTTACTGGATGACTCATTTCTCGTACTCGAGAAAGAAACGGTAATTCAGATTAGTTGTTATAAGTTTTCGAGCCAGTCAACGTGTATAGCGAAATTAATATACAGTGAGCTTACCCAAACTCGTAGTTTGAATTTATATGCCCTATCCTAATATTTAGCACCCAAAAATCGACCGAAAAATTCTAAAAAATATGAAATCGAAAGGTATTTGAGTGATAATTTCACTCGCCATATGAAACGCGCATCTCCTGCGATGTGAGCACCAAGCAGAACGGTGTGCCGCGATAGTACTCGGTTCCTTCCTTTCGAGCCGGTAAGACCACGTCGTCGTGGCAACCACGAATTCAAAATAGATTTCTTGTTATCTGAGCGGTGTGACATAAATGTCAGTCAGACAGACATTATTGTCATTGTCTATTAGAAATCACGATAATGAACGAAATAAGACAAAGCTTTGGCAATATTTCAGTAAATGAAATAGATATAATAGTGAACGAACATGAGCCTAAGAATACCGTGAAAAATAAAAAATATGTGTGGAAGCAATTTATGAACTTCACTGTTGGAAAAGGGTATGTCATCAATGAAGACACAAGTATTCAAAGTTTAGCATTCATATTGAAGGACTGGGCATTCAATATTATATATTTATAACCCAATCTTCACGAAAACAACCCAAGGTGGATCTCAGCGTTATTCAGATGATAAATGGTTGGCAAAAAATAACAGGAATGAAGACATGTGTCCAGTAAGATTGATTAAGAAAATGTTATCAAAACGTAATGATAACATTAAAACTGACAGGTTATTTCTATCAGTCAATCAATTTTGGAACAAGAATAAGAATAGCTCATGGTATAAAAATTGTCCAATGGGTTGCAACGAGATCGCCAAATGGACGAAAAATTCGGCAGATCCATCGGATTAAAAACCGGCAAATTAAAAATTAAAAATCATTCAACAGTTAGCCAATTGGCTGAAGCGGGACTGAACGAACAAGAAATTATAAAAATCACGGGACATGCTAGCGCCAAATTTATAAAGCTATATTTGCAAATGGACAGTGAGCACCATCAAAATATAATGGACAAACTCCGAAATGAAGAGAACCCAGCGACCTCATCAAATTCACAGATCATAACATCGACCGAAAAACAAAATATAACTTATAATAATTGTTCAGTGGTAAATAATTATTAATACAAATAAATTGTCTGTCATGTATCTGTTTAAAACTTTAATAATAGAAAAATGATTATTTTGATAGTTTCTTCAAAATAAAATAATTATAAAAGTGATTTTGATGAACACATTTGTATGTATGACTTTTTTGATTCGTGAAATTATCCCACTAAATACAATTCGAGCTCACAATACTATCGCAAATTCTGTCAGAAATCATAAACTCGATCAAATTGCTTTGAGGTAACACCACTCGTCCTCGCGGACTCGTGGTGTTACCAAGCAATTTGATCTCGTTGATTTCTGACAGAATTTCTATCGATAGTATTGCGAGCTCTCATGGTATTACCCCCGATAATTCTATTTGAGAAATAAAAAAGAATTAGTCCACTCGCCCATTTTAATTGACGTTATGAACGTCAAAAGTTCCATCTCTGAAAAAATGAGTTTGTCGGTAACGTGTGGGTCACTTCGGCCTCTGTATTGTTAGAGCAAGTACGATAATTTCAAGTAAAAAAAAAAAAAACCTATTGCTGCAATACAGGAGAAACCGTGAAAACGATCGATACTGATTGGTCCCCGTAAAAAAGCGTGGAATAGTCATAGAAACAGTAGTAAAAACCTAACCTGGTATTCTCTCGTAGTCGGGCAGCACGTTCTGATCCAGCTCCAAGTCCTCGCACGGCCTCCTTATCTCCGTCAGGATTTCCAGCTCGACGCGCCGCTGCTCCAGCTTCTTCTCCTTGTTGGCCATCTTCTCGGCCAGCAGCTGCTGCTTTTTCTTCTCGCGTTCCTCCAGCTTCCGTCTGCTCTCCAACGACCTGACCAGCGCCATGTGCTGGCGACGCCGTTCGCGTTCCTAATGAAAAGAAGAGGAGGAGATGATCGATCAGAAGTTTTCGAGAGAAATTGGCATGCTATACGGTATACCGGGGGTGGCAAATCTATTTTTCGCGAGTATCTGCTCGGAAACGGGTGATGCTTTCAACTTTCTGGGAAAATTGCCTCGAATGAGATGAATTAGTGAGTAGAACCGACGAACTACCTGTTATCACATACCCAACAAATACAGGGTTTTCAACAATGGCGGCTCGTGCTCCTTTCAACAGGGCAGGCTGAATGGAAAGTGTGAATGTGACATTCCACGAAAGAAACTGACGGAACTTATAAGGTTCTTGTTCAGAGAAAATCCGTAAGAGGCATAATAAAATTCAATCATACTTAAGACAAAAAAAAAACAGAAATCGTGTAAGTCGGTTCATTTTTGATAGTGTTTAATAGAATTCTGATAATTGAGTTTCCATTTCTATGAGAATAGGATGTAACAAGAACTTTATATTTCGATTTTCAGCTGTTTATTGTTGTCAAGTTTGTACTAATAAACATCTCAGCCACACGTGGTCCCTTGCGAATCACGATTTTGGCGAATTTCATTGGTCAGAGGCTGTTTTACGTTGGATGTTGCCAAGTCGCTTTGTATTCTATTCTGAATACTTTCAAGTAAAAGCATTGCTGCCAAATTCTCGAATTCTACTTGATATCAGGAAATGAAACCGATAAAACGAATGTAGCTGTTAGCTACTTCGGTGTAATATTTTATACAAGTATATCGAACTATTCGATGGATCGAAATTCTTGAAGAGACTCAGACTCCTCTAAGAAGTCACCACTGGTTTATTCAAATACATCAAAATAATGAGAGGTACAATTCGTAAAAAAATTAGCAGTGTCTTCTAAAAGGTAGTTTGTCATGGAGTTGTTCAAATAACCAGCTTTGGCACAACACACTATCTCATTTAATAACATTTTTTCAGAAAGTTGAAAGTGTCACCCCTTTCCGAGAAGATATTTCGAAAAATAGAGTCGGGGTACCCTGTATATTAGGTTAGGTACGCATGATATGAAGTTAATATAAGCTCCCACAGCCAGCAGCAACTGCGTTACCTAAATCGAGGATAGAATCGCCGACAATAAAGCGAAGATGTCAAAACGAGCTCATGAAATTCTCATTGTTCCCAAGCAGGAAGTAACTAGGTCACATGATTTTTGAAAAAATTATTCGCGCACAAAAAATGTGAAAATATACTTTGATCATCGATAAGTTATTTCTTGATGATGTTTGAGTTGATTCGGCCATTTTTCGATAAACACACAGTGCTTTCTTCAATGTCGCCCCCCCCCTATATTTTGTGAACGGGTCAACTTAAAAAAATGAAACTTGAATTGATGCATGAATACTATATTTTGGAGTAAAATCGACAGATGAGAATTTCAAAATGACGACTGGGCGCCATCTTGGAAAAATATAAATGGAAAGGGGTGCCTTGTGGCACATCCTTTTGAAGCTCCTGACGAATACTTCACAACTATAGAATATGAAGTCAATATCTCCACCTACTATCTAATGGGGGAACATTTGATGGTTACCTGAATACAAACACATCAATATTAATATTGTATTCAACAAGATGGAGCACCACCACATTACTCCAGACAAGTTAGAAACTATTTGGATAATACTTTTCCTGGTCGTTGGATTGGCCGTCGAGGTCCTACGGATGGCTAGCCCGCTCGACAAATTTGACACCTTTTGACTTTTTTTATGGGGATATCTGAAGTAAAAGGTGCACCTGAACCTGCTTCAATACTGGATACACGACGGAGAATAATGAATATTTGTAGAAATGTCGACGTAACTGTGTTAGGCGTGAAATATCGGATAACCTGTTCTTATGTCAACAAGTCCAAGGCAACTGTTTCAAGCATCCTCTGAACTAAACTCGGCTTATTTCATTAAATTATCATGTTAAACGTCAGTATTGTATTCAGGCATCATTAAATATTCTGCCATTTTGTAGTAGGTGCAAATATTGACTGTACATTCTAGGGTCGTGGAATATTCGTCAGGAGCTTCAAAACAATATGTCACAAGCCCCCCCTTTCCATTTTTTTCAGATGGCGCCCAGTCGCCACTTTGAAATTTTTATCTGACAATTTCACTTCAACATACAGTATTAATGCATCAATTCCATTATGCCAAGTGTCAAAGTTTTCAGTTGACCCGATCAAAAAATGAAAAGGATGGGGGACAAAGAAAAGCACTGTATTTCATTATCAATATTTGAAAACTAATGAACAAACGATGACTCGTTTTGTATTTATTACAGGGTGCCCAGAAAGGTCATATCGTGAATGATGAGGCTGATAGAGTGAGAAAAAAAAATCCTGATACTTCATATAAAAAAATTCTATCGCAATTAAATAGTTACGAAGTTATTGACCTTGAAAGTCCATACATATGCATACTCATCATTAATAAACTTATCAATGGTGTTACCAAAGTATTGAATACTGTCAAAATAATTTGATGTCAATTATGACAATAGAAGTGAGTGATAATTTTTGTCGGTTACTCGACCGAGAAGATACATATAATAATGAAGATGAATGGAAAGCCCTAATTTCGAGTGACAACGGAAAATGAAAAAACTCCACCTCCCCGCGAGAGAGTCGAACTCACAACCTCTGGGTTACATGCCCAACGCTCTGCCAATTGAGCTAACGCGACATCCGTCGATCAATCGGCAGGAAGGTCGAGTTCTAATCACACACCAGAAGGCATAATAAAGACATAGCCACCTATGTTAAAATGAACCCGAATTCACTGTTCTGATGCGATATTCACAGGAATGGCACTCGAATCTAGTAGGTATTTATCAATAACTACTTGTCATATGTAGTCATGGTGACTAGATTTCAATTATAATTGAAGTGGTGAAACAAATTGATATACACCTTGGTAGTGAAGAATATTTTTATTACCACGGGACGTTGTACCTTACCTTGGTCCCTGGGTAATAATGATTTTCTTTACTACCTTGGAGTATAAATAACTATTATTACCATTGAAAAGGTTGAGATATATGTTTCTATTTCTTGGAGCGCACAATGTTTTTAAAATGAGATTTTCTCTATAAAGGTACAAGATATCGATTGAAATAAGGTATACTATTTTTGCAGAAAAAAAAGATGAAGGAATCAAACGGTGGAAGCAAAATATCAAATTTGTCAAAAAATTCATCCCATCCTGTATAAAACATAATCACTGAACAGCCGCTTACATATCGAAAAAAGCATTAGTATGAGTTAATTCAGTTGCCCGAATGATACAATGGCAACCGTTAAAAAGTTAGACATGAAATATACATTTTCATTCAAACTTCCAAGGTCCATAACCCCGTAACGAAGTGCGATAGACAGTTTTTTATATGAAGTTCTGAAGTTATTTTGGCACAGTCTATCAGCACTATCATTTTCGACATGACCTTTCCGGACACCCTGTATATTGTAAGGTGTCTGAAATAGTGAATAGCCATCACATTACATCATTATGAATTATTTTCTACTAACACAATCCAGAAGAGACAGACCATTATATAGTTATTTTTTATTGGTGAAAACAAAGAATTTCATAAGCAGCGCGTCAAAACAATGAGGAAGACATCTTCGACTTTTAGAAGCCATTCCAAGTGATTGTTATTGCGAAATTATAAAAAGCGACTCGAAGAAGACTGCAACCAAAGAAACCATCTCTCCATGAACAAACAGAAACGTGTGAGCAAATTCCAAGACTGTTCGCGGGAAATGTGAACGACTGGACAGTTTTCCGAGGTCAATAAAATTCTACAAAATAATGGTCCCATACTTACTTCACGAAGGTCAACATAAATGTATTCAATATGATCGACAAATTTGGAATATCCATATTTTCATTAAACTTATTTGGCTTCTGCACTCTTGAAATTTACTTCACACAATGCATCCCACGTATTTCCCCATTCATTCATACAGAAGTTTGATTCATACCAACTCGACGGTGTAGAGCATCTCCCGTTGTTTAGTGATCTCCTGTATGTACATCTAGAGGAAGAAAAATACGCGTCATAACGATATTTACAGGTGACAAAAGCGAACTGCGATGGAATATCCGTTAGCGCTGTTATGTTTCCCTAGGGCCCTTGATGCAAACTGACGTATTTGTCATCTAACAGGGTACGGACAAATCATTGCTCCTTTCTCTTTTAATCATCTAGTGACTTTGGTTTCGTGTTATGGCGTTCCTGACATGACAGCTGTCACGTCACATTCATAGGCGTTAAATCTTACAAAATTTTAATTTCACACTTGATCTTAATACGTTATTTTTCAATTCTGTTTTAGAAGGATGGTAAAATGTGCTGCGTTAGGCTGTATCAATCAGTTGGATGGCAAATTTGCATTTTTCAGCTTTCTATCAAATGCAAATGAACATTGAACATGGAAAGTGAAGTGACCGAAAGGCAAAAATTGGTAAATACATCAGCAAAATATTCGAGGTAAAACTAATACGAAATCATATATTATACTTTCTCATTGTGCCTATAATTATCCACTCAACAAGTTTTTGAATGCATTCAAGTAGAATCAGTTTTGATCAAAAAGGAGGATTAAAAGAAGAGGCATATGCCCTACCATTTAAAAAATTATACCTACATTCAGGAAATACTGAGTGTTCGTGAAAAACTGCAGGAATGATTCCCAACATGAATAAATACAGCACCAATGACATATGACCACATTAGTTTAAATACCTACATAACATTTTTCACCATTTCTCAACTATAAGGCTTAGTCTGAAATCGAAATTCATTTAATGATAGGTACTACCTAAGAACAGTCCTATTTGGTAAAACGTATTGAACTTTCAGAAAAATTTCCTCACTGCCTGACAAAGATTATGCTGGAGTTGATAAATCAAAAACTCGAAAATTATCATCATTTGGAAATAATATGTACAGTTGAATGGGAAATTACATGTGGAGATTACGTATGATACGCCAATGTCCTCAATATAACCTAAAATACAACAAATGTCTGAAATCTAGTGTTTATCCCCAGAAATGAATGAATATGGAACTATATAACTGTTTCACAAACACTTTAGAGTGAGAGGAGACGAGGATCTGTCCGTACCCTTTTAAGATGACAAATACGCCAGTTTGCATCAAGGGACCCTATGATTCCCCAATAACCGATTAACATACAATATTTGCTTACGCCGGATTATACATGATGATCTAGTCATGTTATCGCCAACTAGTGGCATTGTTCTCAGGTAGGACCAAACCATCTATAGTCAACACGTGACCCCTACCTCTACTACGTTGCAAAGTGGTACAACTAGTAAACCACTCTGTTGACAGATGGCACTACCTGACTACTTGAGTGGAATAATCCACCAGTCCTATTCTCTGATCTCATAACTAAGAGATCTAGGATGAACAAAGTTGTCCCAATCGTCAGCAGGATCCAGGCAGTACTGTTTCGGCCCATCTGGCCTCATCAGCCGCTCTCGGTCTGCTGACAACTGGGACAACTCAACGCTTCGGGTTCAACCATTCCGAAGACGACAGATAATACATGTTATCGTCATCTAGTGGCCTAAGGTAGGACCATGCGATCGCGGTATACTGTCTGACATTGCCACCTATAGACAAAACGTGCAGACCCTTACGTTTACAATTATAAGAGAGCAGATAGCTTGGTGATCAGTTCATATTGAGTAAAATTTTTAGGAGGGTCAATGATAAATTACTTTCACCACGACATTTGAGGAATAGGTATTAGGAGAATTGAAATGACTTCTGCAAAGTTAGTCTCGATTCAAATTTTCAACTTTTGGGGTTCAGCCCTGCGAGATTGAAGACTAATTACCCTGATGTTGAGTAATATGCTGAATATGGACTGTATTTTGGGAAATGTTTAATCGTTTACCTTAGATGGTAATTAAAACGAAAACTATTTTTCTGTAGAACAGTGCCTTCAATGGGGCAAGTACAACAAAACATTGTCATTATTCGTTGAACGAGACTGGTGACATTTAAAAAATTAAGTTAATCCCTTGTTAATCTTTGAAATCATTCAAAGTGGATGATAAAATCTAAGATGGCCGTTTTTCATTTCATGGTCAACTTCGACAAAATATATTTTTTGATATCCCTCTAAGAAAAGTATGGAACGATAAAAAAATGTCATCAAACTTGATATATCGAAGACTGGAACCTCTGGCACGATAATACACTACACTGTTTTACCACTAACCAAACCGATTTTTTAACGCCTCGACACGTGTTTCGCTAACTATGTTAGCATCTTCATCTTCTTCTTCATCTTCTCCTGAAGATGCTAACATAGTTAGCGAAACACGTGTCGAGGCGTTAAAAAATCGGTTTGGTTAGTGGTAAAACAGTGTAGTGTGTCATCAAACTTGTTGTATCTTGACAAAATGTTCGGATGTTCCTTTTGTTTCTCGTTTTAGAAGTGTTCGATCTCAATTTTCGAATGATAATTTTCAATTAGCATGCATTTTACAAAATTGAATCCGCTTTATTTTTGATTGATTGTCTTCATCGCCCCCATATTTTTCATTTGATTTGTCCTGAGCACGTATTTTTCAAGATTGATTTTAAACCTTCTGTATCATGTATATTTTTGAACTCATTTGGTAATGAATTGTATAAAATTATTCCATTGTGAAATACAGATTGTTTGCCAATGTTTGACTCAAATGTATATGCTATCAAGTAATTCAATTGTCTAGTCCCATAACTATGGACTGTATTGACTTCATTAAAAGCTCAATTTGTAATTTTCAATTCATTTCTGGCAAAATTAAAGAAACATATTTCAAGTTTATATAACGGAATCAGGTTCAGAAAATGTCTAGGTTTGTATAAATTTACCGTTGGTTCTAGAAAATGTAGATGAAAAATGCTTTTAATTGATTTGTTTTGTAATTTCATTAGTGGTTTTAGACGTAAAATATTTTCGGCACTATTTGACACTGACAATGATTTTTTGTGTTTCTATTTTGAATGATCGAAAATACATCTCCATCAATATAACCGGTTGCACGTGATCATTTTCATGAACAAAACGAGCAGGAAAACATGAGTTTTCAAAAAAATGACAATGAAAACCCTATCAAGTAGAAAGTTCTAACCAAGAAATCATCAAAACCTTTCTCAAAGATTAATAATTCGAGTACAAAATCAGTGACTATTCAATGTCCGACAATTATTCACTGTACACTTACTTGTTCTTTCAACATAGCTGCTTGCTGTCTTTTCAGTTCTCTCTCCTGAAACGAAATAACAGGTAACGTGACATCGAAACAAAAGATGTATCTTTCGGCAAACATTTCCGGCACATTAAAAGAGAAAGAGGCCTACCTGCTGTTTTCGTTGTTGCTCTTCGTGTTTGTGCCTTTCCATTTCTTCCTGACGCTTTCGCTTAGCCTGCCATGCAAACACAAAATGAACGAAATGATTCAACAATCCATATCTCTCAGAATCAATATCATCATTGATTTCTCCATAAAAAATCTCGTCACATTTTACTAAGTGGTCTCAAATGTTTCTGATCTGAATGAGAAACTTATTCTTAGTGACACCAATTTGACGAAGAAGGTGTCACCGTTTCTTATGGATTATCATTATATACACGTCTGGCAAGATTAATTTTCCTATAGGTAAACCGTGTAAAAGCATCGTTGCCTCACATACTTGAGTACGGCACGTGTGGCAAACGATAATCCCTATGGTCGGGCCGAAAAATATACTCGCTCGAAGGAGAGGTTACCGTCGATTTTCTCTCTCTTCGTAAAAATGACCATGTACACGGTTTGTCTATTAGATAATCTTGCCAGACGTGTAGTGTATATTCGTTTCAAAGAGATACAACTTGTCTTATAATGAACACAAAAAAGACACATGAAGCAGGATCAAGCGAACCTTTTGTCTCGTTAGTAACATAAAATATCGATTGAGTGTTTACAAACTGTCAAAGTCCCAGTAATTCATGGTTTCGTTATTTGACGTCTTGATAGTTGTCATCTCAACAAAATATCTATGCTCGATTTTTCAGAGCAACAAAGATATTGACTACTTATAAACAATCATTCGAAACGTTTCAGAACACAGAACATATGATTGTTATTTTTACACAGATTAAAAATGAAGATACACCCTAATAATTTAGACGGCATGATCTCAGTAAAAGCCCATTTAAAAAAAAATAAGACTCATTAAGGTAGTATCCCAGACGTATGCTCTTGTAATCCGTGTTCAAGATGAATATCATTGCAGGAAGTTTTTGAAAACGGTTGCTCTAATTAAGTGAAGATAATATGCTAAAATGAAAATCAGTTCATATGAGGTATGCCCTTTCACTAGTGGGGGAAGCGTGTACAGGTATTCAAAAATGGTGGGGTGGCAGTACAAAGGGGGTAAGGAATAGGTGGAAAAAAATTATTCGAGCTCGTAGGATATTGAGAAGAGATGTTAAGTGAACCCATATATAATCGACAAACGAGAGAGGTAAAAGTCAGTCATTAGCTGATGACTTGTCGAACTATACGGCAGCCATATCAATGACCTTGTCTCTCGTTTGTGGTCTTCTCAAAGGTTCCTACTTAAGGTACTACGAATATTTGGTATTAAAGTTGAAAGAGTATACCCAAACATTTTCTAATAGGTATAATAGCGTTCGGTAGGTCAATTGTCTTGCTCCTTGCTCAACCGTCGCAACTGATGAAGAAAAGTGTGATCATTGACGTATAGTTTACAACGTTGCCATTTTTCAGAGCCATCTCTTTCTAATTCATTTGAAACTTTTGAAGTATGTATGATTGTGAACAAATAGTGTTTTATGAATGAAATGTCATGTCTCCCTTCTCTTTATATGTTTATGTGTGTTTTACAAAGAACTAGCCATAGTTCGCGCAAATAGAAAATGTCTACCTTCACAAATAAGTGAAATATCCCGTAAGGACATCGAATATGCGACAGGCTTTAGAACATTGAACTCAATGTGAACAACTGGAAGGAAGACTGCCGTTTTCTCGAATAGCACAGAGTGTGTCAGGGGCAGCTGCAACAAAGATAGCTTTAGTTACGGTAACCTGTCTTTTTCACACTCGTGATGTTTAATGGCGGATTGGTGCATAAATTTCCTTTTATCCAATGATTGGAGTACTTGAGATCTTTTTTTATCTAAACAGGCAGGCAACAGAGTGAGGACAGAACTTCATTGTTTTTTGTCAAGTGGAATATCGCTGCTATTGCAAAGAAAAGTGAAAACACTGAAACAAAAAGTAAAAAGGAGAATGACAACCTTGATGAGGTACTAAAAAAACATTTTGAAGGTAAAAACTAAAAGTTCAAATTTTTAAACTCAAGAGCTATATCATATTGTTTTATCAGGTTTGTCTTTGGAATGTAAAAACTTCACAAACGATAAGATTTCCACAAAATTCTAATAATGAAATGTTTATGGAAAAATAGATACTCTTGAATATTAGGCTCAAAATAGACCTTAGGTACCCGATACCATTCAAAAACCTCTTATCAAATTTTTTCTATCGTTTTTCTTATTCTTCTGATAGTGCTGAGACATTGAGCTTCGTTCACCCAGTACAATATATTGCGACATTTGAATGACAACATATAATTTCAATTTTGTATTCATTTGACTAATCCTGTGAAAATAAAAATCAAATAATGCGAGCGCTTTCCATTAGCCAACATAAGATAGAAAGAGATAGGTATCCGTAACCACTGCGGGTTGCCTGAACAATATTTTTGCTTCACTCGTCGTTCACAGAGAATTCCTTCCAGGTGTTTACATTGAGCTCAATGCTTCACAAAAATCACCTGTACTAGAGTCCCTGTATGTATTTGACAGTTTTACTGTGATAAGAGTACAGACACTATGACAGGCATAACCCAAAATTCTCAAAATGACTTTGAAGGTTTGGTTGAACAAAGGCATGGATATGCTTTTTCATGCACTTCGGATCTTCTTTCCTCTACTGCCGCGGTGAAGGGTACATCCATATATCTTTCTCTGTCTTTCTTTTCATAAAGAAGTGGCGTCTCATCTGACTGGCCAAAAGGGCTCAGTTTGTAACTTGATTTATTGATAGGATACCTCGATATACCCAACGAAGGGTATATGTAGCTGTTGTTTATTATGGGGGAAACGAAATGAATAACATGATTCTCTTCTATTCTTGCAGTTTTTAACTACACAATTAGCCATTTTATTTTTCGAAAAAGTCAATTTTCAAATAACTCAATGTCATGTACGTTCATGAATTGTCAGTGCCGTCAAATTGGTCATGTCATTTGAAATTTTGTATGCATTTTGTCACTGCTTGTCATAGTGTCCGTACTCTTATTACAGAAAGAACTGTCAAATACATATAGGGTTATTACAGCAAAACTGTCAAATATATACAGGGATATAGCTGGGCTGGTGGCCGTGAGCGTAGAGTCGCTGGCTGTTGCCCAGGCGGTCCGGGTTCGATCCCCGGCGCGAGCACTGAATTAATTTTCGGTAGTTTCGTTGGGCGGGAGGAGATAGGTGGCCAACCCAACATTCTTGGTACCTAGATATCAATCCTTTGGACTGTCCACGGTTACCAGCCGAGTAGTGCTTCGGATGACACTTAAAAAGCTAAGGTCCCCGTCTTCTTAACTCACACAAGTCTCTGACTTTCGAGGGTTGCTTTGCAACTAAGCTGGCGGTTAAAAACACTTTTAAACACTTTTTTTAAACACTCTAACCTGTACTAGCTAGGATCCTTTGATGTAAATTGACGTATTCATCATCTTAACAGGGTACGAACAGATCCTCGTCTCCTCTCACTCTGAAGTGTTTTTAATTTTTTTTTGGGACTTCTTGGGTTTTGGATTCGTTTGTGAAATTAAGAATTGGTGGAATTTATAAAAACGTTTCGCCCATGGCCATGGGCTTTGTCAATTTATTGTAAGGACGACATGATGATGAGCAGTGGAGTTAGGTTAGCTGTGAATTAAAAAATACAATTTTACATTTTGAAATTATGAAAATGATTAAAAGTATACGTACCTCAACCAAGAAGTGAAAATCAGAGAAATCATTTGTACTATTTTTTCTTTTTCGGTTTCATAGTTAACAAAAAAAATTTTTTTGGATGTTTCGTTGATAAGGCCTACGAAAAACGAGGTAAAACGAAAATGTTTTGGAGGTTAATTTGGAAACCTTTTTGACAATGACAGATGTATTTAAGTATGACACGGAACATGAAACACAAAACACACTGGTATAGAGAATATCGGCATAGAACATATTTTATATTTGGTAAATTTCGAAGGATGGACTGGTGTTCAGTTTTTTATTTTATCATATTTTGAATTTGATATTGAAATGGAAACAGTATGAAATTTGTGATTTATAGTTATAGGATGGGTATGGTAGATATTGCTTAGATTATTGATGTCTGTTCTATCGTTCATCGAATTTTTGTCTTTGTTTATATATATCATTTCTTTGATGCACCTTTTGTAGTAATTACTTTCATGATCTAGAATTTTAACATTGCTGAATGTAGTTGTGTGATAATTATCAATTAAGTGTTTTGTTAGGGCAGTTGGATTTTGTTTCTTATAGTGATGTCCTTTTAGTCTATTTTCTAAGTATTGTGTTGTCATACCTATGTATGTTTTATTGCAATCGTTACATGGAATAGAATATATAAGGTTTGAATTTTTTAGTGTTGGAGTTTCGCTTTCAAGTTTTGTAAAAAATGTTTTAGTAGTGTTGTGGGATTTATGACATGTATCTATGTTGAACTTTGATAGAATGTGTGAAATTTTATGTGATAAACCAACTGTGTAAGGGATTGAAATTGTATTTAATAAGTTGAAGTGTTTTTTGAAACAGTTATATAGTTTCATCTTTATCAATTTCTGGGGATAAACACTAGATTTCTGACATTTGTTATTTTTAGGTTATATTGAGGACTTTGGCGTATCATACGTAATTTCCACATGCAATTTCTCATTCAACTCTACATATTATATCCAAATGATGGTGATACTTTTCGAGTTTTTGATTTTTCAATTCCTGCATAATCTTTGTGAGGCAGTGAGCAAATGTTTCTGAAAGTTTAATATGTTTTACCTCGTGTTTTACCAAATGGGACTGTTCTTAGGCAGTACCTATCAATAAATGAATTTTGATTTCAGACTAAGCCTTATGGTTGAGAAATGGTGAAAAATGTTATGTAGGTATTCAAACTAATGTGCTCATATGTCATGTGTGCTGTATATATTCATGTTGGGAATCATTTTTGCAGTTTTTCCCGAACACTTATTATTTCCTGAATGTAGGTATAATTTTTGAAATGGTAGGGCATATGCATCTTCTTTCAATGCTCCGTTTCAATCAAAACTGTTTCTACTGAAATGCATTCAAACACTTGTGGAGTGGATAAGTATAGGCACAATGAGAAAGTATATGTGATTTCGTATTAGTTTTACCTCCAATATTTTGCTGATGTATTCACCATTTCTCCACATTCGGTCACTTCGCTTTCCATGTTCTAAGTTCATTTGCATTTGATGGAAAGCTGATAAATTCAAATTTGCCATCCAACTGATTGAAACCGCCTAACGCAGCACAATTTACCATCCTTTCAAAACAGAATTGAATAATGTATTGAGAAAAAGGAAGAAATCAAAATTTTGTAAGATATAAATTAGATACCAAAGCACTGATAACAATTTATTTCGCCAAGTTTCAGTCTATTATTTACAACAACATTGCTGTCTTGGGTTTAGCAACTGAAGTGGACAGAATTTTCATAAAACAGAAAGCATTACTGAGGCTAATTTTCAATCTAGACTACAGAACGTCATGTAAAGAGATTTTTCGTCAAAATAAAATATTAACTGTTGCTTGCTTGTTCATTCTAAAAACATTGACGTATATCCATGGAAACAGAAGGCAACTAGAGTCGAGATCGGAAGTCCATGATTATCATACTAGGAATAACCATATGATCCTCACCCAAAAACACCATCACGCAAAGTATAGAAAGTCTCCTATGTTTGCTGGTATCCGTCTTTTCAATATACTGCCATGCGATATAAAGACACTTCCCCCCTTAGTTTTTAAAAAACAGTTGAAAGTGTTTCTATCAGAAAAATGCTTTTACACAGTAGATGAATTTATACTTGAAGTTGGTAATGTCAGATCACTGTCATTGTAACGTTTTTAGCATGTTGTTTACTTATCTATTCTATTCTTACTTCTATCTATCGATCTCTCTTTTAACGCCTATAAATGTGACGTGACAGCAATGTCATATCAGGGAACCAATACACGAAACCAAAGTCACTAGATGATCAAAAGAGAAGGGAGCTATGATCTGTCTGTACCCTGTTAGATTACAAATACGTCAGTTTGCATCAAGGGACCCTAGTACTACCCAAGAAGAAATAACCCTACCCCCCCTTTCACCCTCCCACTCTTTTTCTCTCACCTCCATCGCCTGCTGCGACCGCGCCTCTCGCTCCCGACGCGCCTGCTCCTGTCGCTCCGATCGCTCCAGCTCCTTGTGCATGCGCGCCTGTTCTCTGTCGGAGCGCGCCGCCGCTCGCGCCGCCTGCTGTCTGCGCGCCATCTCGATGCGCTGCTCGACCGGCAGGCTGGTCCGCATCGCCGACTTCAGCTCCTCCAGCCTGGAAGAATATACTTGTTTATCTACTCACTGCATAGAAAGTTAGCGTTGGCTCCCTCATTTGAGGACAAAAACCTGTCAATTTACTCCCACGGGAGGAAACAATTTTTACCTCCCGTGGGAGGTGAAATAAATTGGCTTCAGCATGCTTCTTTGGTAAAGATATTCATATTATAAGATTTGTGCTACCCAAGTACCTAATCAGTGTGTCCACCACTACTATAAAACAAATAACAATTCCATATTCCAATGATCCCATTCACTTCCTCATATAACACTTAATCGAAACTTTGAATAAAATGCAATATTTAAATCACAACTAACTAATTCAATGTGACAGAAGTGTCAATGTTAAATTAATTTTTTCTGTGACGGGAAAAAAGTTTGACACTTCATCTCTGTTGGTAGGTTATAAAATGTCACTTTTCATAAATTTCTTTTTTCCCGTGGGAAAAAAGTGAGTGCTTTTTTCCCGGTTATATATCACATATATATACTCTGTAAATGGCTTTTGTTGTGCTATAGTTCCGAAAAATGAGTCAATAACAATAAACAACTACTGAATTCGCAATTTTTCAAAATCAAATCACAGAATTGAACTGACAGAAGTGACATCAGATATTTGATTACTTCAAAAGAATGATAAAGATGTCTATAAAACGCAGGTGTCCCTACTGTTAAACACTTGAAATTTCACGTCGATAATTTTCAGATTTCGAAATAATGTAATATCTTCTCAATATTGATTCGTCCCTCCTTCTGTCACAGAAAAAAATAGTGTATTATACACGGGAAAAATATTAGATTTTAGCTCACGGTTTTTTGTCTCCCTCCGCTACGCGTCGGGAGACAACACAACCTGGAGCTAAAATCTACTACTTTTTTCCCTTGTATAATAAATAACTATTTCGTTCTGTAACCTTAGATCATCTAAAATCTTAGATCATGTAACACATTGATTTGGATCGAGACTTGAGAGATAGACCGCTTGAAGCACAATTTTAAGAACGACGCTCTCAAATATATGTGTTCGTGGATAAAATCATATATACAGTCTGTCCAAGATAAGGTTGAACAGCATGGGGATCTCGGAAACGGTAGGAGATACGAAGTCGTTTAAATGGGGAAAAAGTTGCGCATTCGGAGACTCATATCAAGAGCCTTCGAAAATTTTGAAAATTATTTTTAGTTTTTGAGTTATATCGAAAAAAGTGAATTTTTGGAATTTCTATTTTTTTTTTCTCCGTTATTATCAGAGATACATAAAAACTGAAAATACTTTTTCATTGCAACTTTTGATGAGGTTCAACGTGGTGATACCGATTTTTTTATGCGACGTTTCGTATTTGTGGAACCATCATCAACTTTTGTTTTTTAAATACGGTCCTGATAATTTTTTCACAGATTCTGAAAGGTTTTTTTATTCTGAATTCAACAATGTACTATACAAGGTGATTCGAATGTGTTTCGACCTATTTCTATCCATCATCAATGTTTTTTCGAACTTCCAAAAGAAAAAAAGCCATCAGTTCCACTTATTTCTTATCATTTAGTGTCAAATTTGATGGATTAGTTATTCAATACTGAAAAGTTAATAAAAAATATTTCACTACATCATTCGATCAATGCAGCGTTTAAAATTGTTGATGAATTCTTACACGAATTACTTTAACAACTTAACTTTGAAAATACCTACAGAGACATTTATAACAAATGTTCAAAATGATAACCATTATTTTCTGAACAAAGATATCCTCTTCTCACAGTTGTTTCTAAGACATTGCTAAGCATTTCTGGGGTTATTCTATTGAATGCTTCGAAGACACTGTCCCTTAGTTCTTCTTCATCCTCAAAGTTATTTGCGTGTACAAAGTTCGATATATCCCCTAAGAAAAAATCCAGCTGTGTCAAATCAGGCGACCGCGCCGGCCAAGGGATAAAAACGCACGGACTTCTCTGGAATTATGTACCGGAGCGCCATCTTGTTGAAACCAACAGAGTTCTGAACTTCCGCAATCGGTAAATCATCCAGAGCTTCCTCAAGATGATTCTCAAGCGAATTTCTATAACGTTCGGAAGTCTGTGTTTTATGGTAAATAGAAGGAACAATAATTCGTGTACCAAATATTGCAACCCACATATTAAAGCCGAAACGGTGTTGATGTCTCGCTGTAATGAATAAATGTTCATTTTCTAATGAACAATAATGTGTATTTTTTCTATCGAAGCTACCATGATTAGTGACCATGCTTTCATCAGTCCAGATGATTGTTCGAAAGAAATCAGCAAAATTTTAACATTTCCTGGTATACCACTCACAGGATGTCTTGCGCCTTTCGTCATCTCCTGGTTTTAGCGCTTGACATATTCTGAATTTGTATGGATGGAATTTTTGTTTCCGCAAAATGAAATGGGTTGTTGATTGAAACCAGTTGATGAGGTATTAGTGTGTTGACTAATTTTCCTTCAAAATAAGTGGAACTGATGGCATTTTTCCTTTGGAGTTTCGAAAAAACATTGATGATGGATGGAAATAGGTCGAAACACAAATGAACCACCTTGTATAATACATGGTTGAATTCAGAATAAAAAAACCTTTCAGAATCTGTGAAAAAATTATCAGGACCGTATTTAAAAAACAAAAGTTGATGATGGTTCCACAAATACGAAACGTCGCATAAAAAAATCGGTATCACCACGTTGAACCTCATCAAAAGTTGCAATGAAAAAGTATTTTCAGTTTTTTTGTATCTCTGATAATAACGGAGAAAAAAAAAATAGAAATTCCAAAAATTCACTTTTTTCGATATAACTCAAAAACTAAAAATAATTTTCAAAATGTTCGAAAGCTCTTGATATGAGCCTCCGAATGCGCAACTTTTTCCCTATTTAACCGATTTCGTATCTCTTACCGTTTTCGAGATCCCCATGCTGTGCAACCTTATCTTGGACAGACTGTATATATATCTTGGGAGCAAACGTTCATTTCCTCCCATGTGTGTTTAAACTTCACACGCGGGAGATGATGGATACCTTTGCTCCCTTGATATATAAATAGCTATTATTGGGGCAATAAAGACAATCAAATAGAGATGGTGATGCTATCGTACCTCCTTATGACATCCTCCTCGCTCAGATGCACAAACTCCCCGCCCTCGGCCTGCATCTCGGGCGGCACCGGCTGCAGATAATCGCCGATGATGCAGCGGCAGCTGAACGTGAAGTGGTCCTTGGTCAGGTCGCTGGTCTTCTGGTAGTCGAGGTACTGCGTCACGTCCGACATCTGCTTGAACTTGTTGGAGGAGTCGGGCGCCGCGTAGGTGACGTCGCCGCGCAGGCCGCCCGACTTGGTGAGGCCGCGGATGATCGTCTCTCTCTTCCAACCTGAAACGGAAGAATAGGGTTCATCTATACCATTGTCTGCTAAATATGGAGAAAAAATCTAGTGAGCTGGAACTATTGGTATTCCCTATAGCTCAGTTGAGTGTATAACCACTAGAGGATGTTACCGTATCGAACGAAATGATCTTTGTAACAATATTGATAATAACTCTTGGAATAATTCCTCCTTAGTTTTATTAATACTTCAAGTTTCATAAGTACAATCAATACTAGATATTATTATTATTATCACCATGACAAAATATCTTGTATAGAGGGTTTATATTCCTACAAAACTTATGAATGACATCATATCATTTGTTTTTCTGTTTACAAAATCGTACAATCAATAGCGATAACGATTCGAATAACTGGGAGAAATGAAGGATTTGGATACGCCAAATCATCGCGCTAGAGCCATCTCCGTTATTTATTTATTTATTTATATTCACACAGGCCTATTGGCCTAATTACATGAATATATATATATATATATATATATAAATATTGAAGAAATACAGTTGATTCTAATGTGTTACAGAAGAGAGAAAAATATAAAAAGAAAAAACAGTAGAAATGTGTGGGACAGCAATACGAAATGAAAAGTGTTGTTGATATCTATAATAGCACATACAAGTGGGTCAGTATGATAACATTTGTTGAAAAATTACTTTTTTAAATCTGTTGAATGTCATAGACCAGTCTAAATCAGTTAATGAATTTATATAATTAGCTAATTTGAGCATATTTACAAGAGGGGAGTGGGATGTTGTGGATATTAACGTGGTATTAAACATCAGAGGAAATCTGGTTCTGCGGGCCGACACATGAAAAGATATCAGAGCTAAGAGATCCGAAGAATTGATCTGATAATTTATAATTTTATACAAGAATGACATCATACTCACTTTAATTCTGTTATCAATTGAAATAACACCAAATTCTGACCTGAGCTGAGATGATCGAATAGTTACAAAGTCTGGCCATCTTCTATATTTCCTGAGATATAGGTGCCTCAAAAAACTATTTTGTACTTTTTCTAAGGATTTCAGAGTAGTTTGCGATTCTCCATTCCAAATTACTGAGCCAAATTCAAGTTTTGACCTCACAAGAGTGTAGTATAACCCGATTAATGTTTTTACATGTCTAAAGTTAGAACCTTGTCTAATAACGAAACCAAGTGTTCGTGTTGCAGACTTTGTGGTATTTTCAATGTGTTTTTTAAATGACAATTTATTATTGTATGTTATACCAAGATCTTTGATTTCAATGCATCTCTTGAGATAATCATCAGCTATTTTGTAATCAAAAATTATTTGTTCTTTAGCACGAGATATTGTCATTACTGAGCATTTTCCAACGTTGAATGGTAATTTGAATTCATCGCTCCATTTGTATAATGCATTTACATCTTTTTGAAGTAAGACACAATCTCTGACTGTTTGGATTTTCTTGAATATCTTCAAATCATCTGCGAATAACAAACATTCCGAATATTGGATCACCGAGGGTAAATCATTAATAAAAAGAATGAAAAGTAAAGGCCCTAGGTTTGATCCTTGAGGCACTCCTGAGTTAGCATGGAATTTTCCGGAAGTATTACCATTATACCTAACTATAAAATTTCTGTTTTCTAAATAGTTTTTCAAAAGCTTCAAAATTTTTGCAGATAATCCAAACTTGTAAATTTTTTTCAATAGAATATCATGATTTACTTTATCAAATGCTTTACTAAAATCTGTGAATATGGTATCCAATTGCAAATTTTCATCCATGGCATTATTAGCAGTATTTGTGAATAAAAATAAATTCGTATTTATTGATTTTTTGCTCATAAACCCGTGTTGTTCGTTCACTATGTTCATTTCGACATGTTTATAAAGTCTATTATAAATAATTTGCTCAAATAGTTTTGCAGGTGCGCACATAATAGATATCGCCCTAGTTTTCAATTTTCATTTTGCCAGATTTGAATATTGGTGTGCTAATTGCATTCTTCCATATATGTGGAAAAACTGAACTATTGATGATCAGATTGAAAATATGAAGAAGAGGTTTCTTTATATATTGATAACATCCTTTAAGGACATATGGTGGAATTCCATCAACACCTGACGCTTTTTTAGGTTTCAGTTTTTTCATGGCTTGATCTAACTCCAATTCACTAATTCCATTAATGACCAGAGTATCATTACTTACACTTACGTCATCACTGAAATCTAGATTATATGTAGATTTATCAGTATCGTAAATTGACGCAAAAAAATCAGCAAATTGATTAGCTATATCATTATCAGGCACATTTATGCCTTTGTATGAAAATGAATTATTATTCATACAATTTGTTTTCTTTTTATTGATGAAATTCCAGAAATTGTTGATGTCCAACTTCATACTATCCTCTAGTTTTTCCATATAAGCGTTCTGTGCTACTTTAATTAAAGACTTCAGCCTTTTTCTACATTCAATATATCTATCATTGTAAAAAGTGGAGACAAATCTCAACTTCCTAAATCGTTCCTTTTCAGTTATTAGTTTTTTTATGTCTTCACCAAACCAGACGGGACATTTTTTGCATCCAACATACTTATTGTACTTTGGCACCCAAGTTTCAACGATGTTATTGAATATTCTGTAAAATTCTCCTAAGGCCGTGTTCACATTTGAGCAATCGATTACCTCCGCCCAATCAGTGTTTTGCAAGTTCAAGCTGATTTCTAGAAAATTTGCCTTCTTGAAGTTATATTGAAAATCTGTCACTCTTGTTTCCACTTTCTTGATGCTTATATTATTCTCAATTTGTATTTCTAGTGTTGGATGAAATATGTCTTCCTTGATAATCGGAATATCTTCCTTTTTTACTGTTATCAAAAAATAATCTTTTGGCCCTATTACTAAATCTAATGTTTTATCTTGAAAATTTTTCACATCATTATAAAGTATGAATGAATTAAAAATCATGAATTCATCTAAAAAAATTAATTTTTGATTCGCGCTGTTGAATTGTGTGTTAATTCCTTCGATTTCAGGTAAATTGAAGTCTCCAAAAATGAAACATTGTTCGGTATTAAGAATATGTGATTGTAAAAAATATATACAAGATTCATATACATCAGCAGAACTCCGTGGAGGAATGTAGACACAGGATAGTGTAAATATAATGTTAGATATTTTAATATGTAAAATCAATGCCTCAAACGTACTATTATTTCTCATTATTTTAATTATCTTGTATTTTTTACTCACGGCCATCAGAACTCCACCTCCTTTACTTTTTTTTGTAATGGACAAATTTCTATCAGCTCTCACCAGGTTATATACATTACAATCCACAACTTCCCCATCCCTTACTCCTTCTTGTAACCATGTCTCGACTGCCAGTATCACATCATATTCGTGAGACAAACTGTTTCTGAAAAAATCATTCAGCTTCGTATTGAGTCCCCTACAATTCTGATAATAAAGAGATAAATGGACCATACATGTGTCACTCGTAAGCTCCCTCGCAACTATAATCAGCATGGATTGGTAGTTATTCAAGAATTAAAGATTCAAAATACCTCAATTCACACGTGAATTCAGTATTCAACTAGTACCTAATGATAATGTTATTACTAATCATCTAGACAGATATATAGCTGATAGAAATAATATACTGATCATCCACACAGATGAATAATAATATACTTAAATATATCTTCAATTCTATTATAAGTATTCCCTAGTAGATATATCTAAAATGTGAACTGAAAAATTAAAAAGTTCGCATTACTTCAATAAGTACTCATAAGATAATATAATTATAGCTGAGATAAGAATAATATTGAAGAAAAATAATAATAATAATTACTCTGTGAGAATCTATCATAGAAATAATTAGTATACAGAAGAAGTATTCATATAGGATAATATTGATATTGTTTATAACATTATTCAGAAAAATTAATCGAAAAAAAAAAAATGATCACTGTGTCAATCTATCAAACAAATAATTAATAAGTATAGAAAATAACTATTCATATGGTGTACACCTGCCTTAATGTTAAAGTTAAACAAAAACAAAAAATTTAGCTGCTAGCAAAAAAGCAAGGTTGAGAACAGTGACTGATGAACAATATTTATATTTGCAGGGTTGTCATATTGACGATTTTATAAGTCATCTACACTATTTATCATTTTAATCTTTCCATTGTTTCTCACACATATTCTACCTCCTTGGGACCATACTTCTTGAGGGCCATATTTTTTTTTCGCTAACACTTGCAGCTTATATCGTACACTAGATAGGTTTTCATTTATGAATATTCCACTTCCTTTCAATGACTTTTTGGCTTTGAATACTTCGTTCCGCTTCATATAGCTAATGAAATCGATAACTATTGCCCTGATAGGCTTTGATGATACATCACTGATTTTTCCGACTCTGAAAATATTGTTGATGTCGGAGGGTAGGCACTTAATTTGTAAACCATTATTTATGATATTGAGGACAGTTGCTAATAGATTTTCATTCTCTTCTTCCTTGACTCCAACAATACGTAGAGAATTTGATCTTCTGGATTGTTCCATATTATCTACCTCATTTGATAGTTTACCAATGTCATTCATATTTGAATTCGCCATTTTCTCAACAGTTGCGATTCTAGCAAATTCATCATTCATTTTAGCTTCCATATTATCCAGTTTCTGATTCATTTTTGCCAAATGTTCCCCAATACTAGCTGTGACTTTAGCAGATATTTTGCTGATCATACTGTCGACGAGAAAATCATCCATATTATGACTTGATTGGCTATTACTTCGAGTTCCTTTCAGAGTAACGGCATGTTCTCCTGCTACCATTTTATAATACCAATGGTGAGGCCGTCTGATAAGACAGACTACTGGCTCTGCAGTGTCAGTGCCCGAGCAGAAACGCTGCTCACCCGCCGAGGCAGACAACGTATCCTCCCACTTGACCCATAGTGGGATTCTTCTTCACCTCCTCTACCGTAGTCCGGCGGTGTTTTTGGAAACCGCTGCCCCCTCGAAACCAACTCAATTGGTGAGGAACCAGGCCGTACGTACGGCCTGATGGGGCTATCCTCATCACCCCAGGTACCCATGTTAACAAGATTCCTCTTGTCACGTTTGATGGGTCACCGTCGCAAGAAGCTTTGGCCTGATTGCTACTCATGTTGACAAGAATCCCCTCGTCCTGTTGAATGAGTGATCGTTCGAGGACTTACACGTTCCTCTACCTCGTTTACAGGAGAGGACCCGGCTTTGCCTACGATGACTAGCGGTAGGATCGCTTAGGCCTGCCCCCTCCTTGACGAACTAAGGCAGAAGGTACACTAAGTTCTCGCTGAGCAAGCCCAGCTACCCGTGTCGACCGAAATCCTCCAGTCCCGTTTAATAGGTGACCGTTCGCGGCCTTTCACACGTACCGCTACCATGACAAGAGTGGGGACCTCAAGCTTTCAACTAGTGGTGTCTGGAGTCACCTGGGGCTACCCCAACCCCGACACCGTGAGTACATGGTGGGCCCACGGCCAACGATTCGAATAACTGACGAAACATATAAAAAAATCTCACCTTTTTCCAGCGGCACCCGCAGCAGCCTTTCATCGTAGTGCTTCTGTCTCTTGGCAGCCGCCGCCGCCGCTGTCGTCATCATCTCCGCCTCCATCTCTGAATCGGTATGGTTAGAGTCAGTTAGATTGTCGCTGTCCGAGGTAGCGTCTACCGTACTAGAGTCGCTCAGAGCGCCCCTGAGCTTCTCCTGTATGAACCTGCAATTTTCGTTCATCAACATCTACGTCGTATGTCATTTCACAAGGCGCAGTCGGTAGGTTGTCTCACATGTGTGACAGTTACTAATAAAAGTCTTTCTAGACTTGTTTGATTCAACGCTATTAGTATTTTCACAAATGAGTAATTATTCAAAAATTATAATCAAAATCATTAATAATTAAATATTTCCATGAATCCTAAATTGTGCTTGTTAAATTGCACTGAAAAGTTCATAAACATTTCGAACTCGTTTTGACATTGGACCCTTCAACAACATATACGACTGAGTAGCCTCTAATAGCAACGTACCGAGAATAAACTAAAACAATATCAATACTTGATATTTCAGATTGATACAGATGGTGGGTATTCACGAGAGAGTTCATAGTTGATTTTCGGGAAGTTGCTGTCAGTCGTGGAATCTATCGATTCGCACATTATGTTATCGCGTTAATCAATTACTTAGGTGTTTGTGCGTTCTACCAGACAACCACCTCCGAGATGGCTCTATTTATATTCAATCAAATCAAATTAAAATATGCTTTATAGTCACTTGAGAATGTAATTGAATTGTACTTGTTCATAAAAATCTTCAATAACAACACGTTTTTCAATTCCTTTCTGAATTTTTTCATATCAGAGGTAGATTTAACTATAGTTGGAAGATGATTGTACATTTTCAGGCCATTACATATTATGGAATCTTTTATTAGTGAACTGCAGGGCCGGGGAAGCTTTACCATGTCTGACTGGCGTGTGTCGTAAAAGGATTTCACGATTACGTAATTATCTCTGGTTTTGTGAATCAAACACACCGGCTCTATAATAAACAAGGATACTACTGTTGACACTATGTGCTCCCTGAATAACTCTTTACAAGAGGTTCTTGGATTAACTTTGCATATATATCTTAAGGCCCTTTTGTGTATGGTCATTACATCATTATATTGTGAGTACTATTTAACCATTTTATACAGGGCATGTAACGACGAGCTTACACTATCTTCATATCGAGAATCAGTCGGGAGAAATCCATGAAAATTCATATCTCAGAAATATTTTCGACAATGCAGTGTGACGGTTCTACTAGAGATACAGGAATACCTTGTTCAAACTCACCGGTTGAGCGCCTTCTCGTCGGCGGCGGTGGCGACGCCGCCTGCGCCGCCTCCGCCGCCCCCTGCCGTCTCCGATAAGTACTGTTGCGCCGCCAGGATGTTGGATTTCAGCAGATTCATCTGCTGGTTCATCGAGATGTTCGGATCGAGCATCGGTACGGGCTTAATGCCTGAAAATGAATACTTTCTCTCTTGAATTCAATTTATTATACAAAATCTCAATATGAATTCAATAGAAGAATAAAAATATATTCAAATATACAGGGTGTCCAGAGATAAAACCGACAAAACTTATGGGGTAATATAGGAACTGCCAATATGAATGCAAAATGTCATATACGAGCGTCCAAAACCATCTCGTTACTGACATACAGAGTGATTTGTGGATTTTGACAAAAATTCAATCTGCCATATTAAATACAGGGATTGCCCGATTACTTTCAAATTTGGTGCATAAATTGAACTCGAAGGTTTCAACAATTAACCTACTGAATGAAACCAATATCAGGACCAGAATATAATTTTTTTTCCTATGTTGAGTTATTGGGAGAATAACTCATCCTCTATGATAAACATCAGAAATCTGAGATCATATTATGAATCTACGGGAAAAATACTGATAGGAATTGTTGAGAAAGTTTTTGGCACAATTCCAGTTATTCCATAATGAATTATTAGTTTACTATTTTTCATTTTAATTGTCGGTTAAAATATTAGCAAACATGGAAATATAATGAATATTTACGAAACCATGGCATAATTGTTGTTATTGTCTCTGTTATTATTTCATGAATTACTCTCATAACCTGCAAAATTGAAGAATAAATTCGTATCAGGGGTAGAATGTGTCTTTTCATGTTCTTGTAAGTATAAATTAGAGTCGTATAAATGACCTAGTATTACAATCATCATTTATCTGATCATAGATTCGGAAACACTGAACAAATCGTATATAAGTTGTAATAATAGTAAAAGTTTATTTTGAATTCATTTTTTTTGTCATGTTTATTACAAATTCACGGTCCAGTCCGCTTTCCAACAAGTTCAAATACAATTTTTTTAGCTGATGCCGAATCCACGATCAGATCAATGTTAATTGATATACTAGGTCTATTATACAGGGTGTCCATAAAAGGTCTGTACAAAATATTAGCACATAGTCCTGGGGTCAGAATAAGCAGATTTGAAGCAACTCACCCTTGCTCCGTTTCCGAGATACAGGGTGGTAAATTAACTTTAAAAAATAAAAACCATCAAGTACACCCCAAAAAAGTATTCTGCAAAATCCATTTTTGCATTACTCATTCACTGACCAAATAAAATTCATAAAGGTAATAGCAAACATGCATTCTTTATACAGAATAATTTGAATATTCTGGTGCGGCATCGAACACTTAAATCCGAAATATCTCGAAATCGGCTCACTTCAGCGAATTTTCACAAGAGTTCCTTTTTTTCTTAAAATATTTAAAGAATTATTTTATCAACAAAAAAGTGAAAGAGTATAATTATCTTCATTTTGTTACTCTTGTGCAAATTTCGTATTTTGCATAGTTCTGAAGGAAAAAAAATGGTTTTTTTTAATTATTGTTCAAGATTATGCATACCTTCATCAATACAAATGTCAATTCCTTTGTTTCTACTGCCAATTAATTTTTGTATTACAATTTCATTTTTTACCAAAAATATCTGCAAGCAGTACATAGCAAAACATTTTTTTTCCTTCGGAACTATGTGGAATGAGATATTTTCACAAGAGTAACAGAATGAAGATAATTATCAGCCACTCGCTTAAAAAATTAGAGAACCCTACTAACAACCTCAAGAATGTTCTGAAAAAAAATGTCTGGGGGTGAAGGTAGTTTCAACCCTTCTACAATTTCTTTCGGCTTGCTTTGATTACTGGAAGAAGGGTTATCCTCCTAAATGCAGTTTTGTCAAATTTCATCCAACTTGTTCCACTCATTTTCGAACAGCTTACAAAAATGTGTTTTTCTATGTGAACTTTGATGTCGTCTCAAGGACAAACAGTAATTTATTTATTATAAATAAGTTGGGTCTAATCAACTTATTGTGAACTGTACATGGTAGCTCTGTGTCACCGCCATTTTGGAACACCCTGTATACAGATGCACGCGCTAGTGGCAGCAAGGTTCAATTTTCAATGATATCAAGTGAGTTCTAATCAACAAAGCCGATTTTATATTCATAATAAGGGTTTTTCGCTGGGGTAATTCGATTTCTAACTATAAAGGTATGTTCATGCATGTACGAATTCCGCAAACCAATCATAACCACACAGTATGCATAAAATGTGTTGGTATTTTGGTAACATCAAAATTGGGGAATTAGAGAGCGAACAGCAAAGGCCGAAAAAAGACGAGACTAGATACTAGACTACAGGCGAGTACAGAATTATAATTAAAAATGTCATCATTTCTTCATTTGATTAGATTTTCTTCACAGGATCAAGTCTCTGGACGAATTAATTTTCATGTATCATTTGTATCGTCTCTATAGAGCTAATAATGTATCCAGAAGCAAAAAATGGAGCTGTAGTGTTCGAAGGATTTTTTAAATGCCGAAAAATGTATGGAGATTATTACAGCCTCGTTCGATAAATGCGACTGAATGACCTTAATAAATACTTCGTGTAACGTGCCTTCAATTTGATGAACTTCGATCAATGGTGGGACCAGAAATAAATGAATTATATATGACAACAGAACCCTTATCTCCTGCAAATTTTGTCGCATGAGTATGAACGTCGAATTCTGTGGGGAATTTCATATTTTGCCATTCGCATAAATTTTGCGGAATTCGTACAAGCATGAACATACCTTAATTCATAGAGATTTTCCTCAGTGCTTGCGGTTCCTGTCTCAACAGAATAGATGATTGAATAATAGTATTGTTATTTGTAATGATCATAGCAATATTGAAAGGTAATTTAACAACGTTACAACAAGATTCGAACTGACCATAATGTTGAATACAACACCGGCCGTGAATTTTCAAACTCCAAAAAAAAAGTAGTGAGAGTATTGGGGAACGCCCTCGGCCTTAGATTTGGCGTCTAAGGCCAATATTTCCTCCATTTGCCTGGATAACCTTGTCAAATTCTGGAGATATCTCTCATTGGCGTCCACGTCGCGAGGGGGGGGCTTTGGGAAACGGCTACTTAGCTGCTTCGCAAAGGCTAACAATGAGAAAAGTCACCCAATCCTAAGGTGGAGTGGATCCCGTGCCGATGGGATGCGTGGTACATGGGAGATGTGCAGACAACGAGCCCTCCAGAGAACCAGGCGAAACTCTGGAGTAAACAGCCTTGCCTCAGTAAACGGCTCTGCTGAGGTCGACCAACACATCCGCATTACTCGTGGGAACCATATGGAAAACCAAAAACAAAATAATGACGAACCTGCCCATCTGATGGAGGTTGAGGGGACACCATCCTCATCTTCATTGGATGCAGAGAATAGGCTTCTGGAGGGCGACTCTTCTGGAACGGGAACTGAGGCACATCAAACCTTGGTTACTGTGGAGGAAGAGCGCATCCTACAGGAGCTGATGGAGTCGACAGAGGAAGGGGAGGAATCTGGGGGCAGCCGTGAGCAGCCACCGGTTCCAAACCCTCAGGATCTGCCGGACACGAAAGTGAAGATGTCTGGAGCGCAGCGCAGGAAGCTGGCGATCCAGGCGGCTATGGCTCGTGGGGACCCGATCATTCCTAGGAAGCCTAGGTCAAATCGGAGGCCCACGAAAAAACCTCAAGCACTGGTGGCCGTAAATCCATCATGTCTTAAGAGACCAGACAAAACCATCTCCACAACGGGAAGTGGGAAAGTCTGCGAGGCCGCTGGAAAGAGGGGGAGATCCGAGACCAGCACACCTTCGCCGCTCCTTAAGAGGAGCAAACAGAGTGTCTCTGCGGGACCTTCTGTAACTAAACCCGTCAGTACACCAACTGGAGGCAGTTACAGTAAGGCCCTGACCTCCTTTAAGATGGCAGTGACTACGGGCAACTATCCCGAAGACAAGCTATCTTTGGAGCAGGTGAAGCAAATCCAGCTTCTCATTACGAGAGAGATCTGGAGATGTGAGCCAGGAACTGGGCCTCAATTTGCAGGCAGCTACCCTCAATCGGGGGTGCTGATCCTAACCTGCGAAAATGAGGAATCCAGAGAATGGCTCAAGCGGAAGGTGCCTACGCTGAAGCCTTGGGAGGGGGCCGCCCTTAGCGTCGATGACGCTAATAAGGTGGTCAAAACTCACAGGGCTGTGGTATGGGTGCCAACCGAGTTCCTGGACGCCAAGGAGCCGGCTAGGATCCTACAGCTCCTGGAAACCCAGAACAAGGGCATTAAAACAGGAGACTGGAGGATTATTTCCACCAATTCCGACAAACAAGGAATTACCCTTGTTCTTGGAATTGACGACCTCAACCTGAAGGAGTTGGCCAAGAGAGGCTTCAAAGCCTACCTAGGCCTGTCCCAACTTACCTTCAGGGTGGTAAGTAAAAAGAGCGCCGAAGATGCTGCAGGTCCTTCAAGTAAACCTGCAGCATAAAAAGGCTGCGACTGCTGCCTTAGTGAGGTACCTGTCCCGAGGCGAAGCTGACATAGTCCTGATACAAGAGCCCTGGATTCACGGGGGACGAGTCTCAGGACTGGGAGAAGCCAAGGGTAAGGTAATATACGATCTGACGGCAGGGAATGTGAGATCCTGCATTTTCGTTAAGAACGAGCTACACGCACTAAAACTGCTTGATTTCTGTTCTAGGGACCAGGCAGCAATTAGGCTGAAAATTCGTATGGGAGGAATCTGGACGGAAATCATAATAGCCTCAGTGTATCTGCCATACGATTCTATCGGGCCACCTCCGTCAGCAGAACTGGAGAGGCTAGAGGAGTACTGCAGGCTTTCAAACCTACAGCACATCTTTGGCATTGATGCCAATGCTCACAGCACAGCTTGGAGGAGCAGTGACACAAACAGAAGGGGTGAGTTTCTATTAGATTACATAATTTCTAAGAATTTAGTTATAATGAATCGCGGGAACGAAGCAACTTTTGTTACCAAAACTCGTAAGGAGATCATTGACATAACCCTGGCGTCTTCTAGAATAAGCTCTCAGGTAACTCGGTGGCGTGTATCTGAGGAACCGTCCTTGTCGGACCATAGGTATATCTGTATGGAAATTTCAGATACTGAACACCCGACAGAAGCCTATCGAAACCCGAGAGGTACGAACTGGGAGAAATTCAGAGAGGACTTAACAATAAACCTAGGAAACGTCAAGAAGATTATCAAAAACGGCACTGATGTAGAGGTAGCCTCCTGTCAGTTGCAGGAGGCAATAATATCCTCATATCAGGACAACTGTCCTTTGGTAAGGCGCAACAGCAGCAAAGACGTTAGCTGGTGGAACGAAGAACTTAATACGCTAAGAAAAGAAACACGCAAACTTTTCAATAAGGCGAAGAAAACTGGGGAGTGGGGGCAGTATTCCATCACTCTGACCAATTATAATAAACAGATCCGTAGGGCGAAAAGGGAGTCGTGGAGGCGTTTCTGTGGAGAGGTGGAAACAACCTCTGAAGCAGCACGCCTCCATCGAATCCTAGCCAAGGCACCTGTTAATCCTATGGGGAATATAATGAAACCTGACGGGAGATATACTGAAACTGGCAGGGAAACTCTGGAGATTCTACTTCGGGCTCATCTGCCAGATTCGGTTGAAATTGAAAACGATAATCTACCAGACCCACTAAACCCTCACATGAGGGCTGCTGTTGGGGACTGGCGGGTATCGAAGAAGATTGTTGACCACAGTAAACTGCTGTGGGTCATAGAAACTCTTGAATCCTACAAGGCGCCGGGACCGGACGGAATTATCCCTGCAATGCTACAGCAGGGTAAGGACCAGCTGGCTCCGTTTATTTGTGGGATATTGAGAGCAAGCCTGGCAACGGGGTACATTCCGGTTGCATGGAAGAGAGCGAGGATCGTCTTCATCCCAAAGCCTGGAAGAGATTACTCTCAGGCTAAGGCGTTCAGGCCGATAACACTATCATCATTCATGTTGAAGGTGATGGAGAAGTTAATTGAAATGCATATCAGGGAAAACTTTCTCATTGAAAGGCCACTACATAAAAACCAGCATGCATATCAATCGGGAAAATCCTGTGAAACGGCACTTCATCAACTGGTGGGGAAACTTGAGGCCGCAATAAGCAACAAGAGCATAGCTCTTGCGGCTTTCCTGGATATTGAAGGGGCATTCGACCACACACCCTTCATATCCATGGTAGCAGCGGTTGTTGAGCGTGGCGTGGAAGACACCACATGTCGGTGGATAAAAAACATGCTACACAACAGAACAGCGGAATCCACATTGCTTGGTGAAACCATGGAGGTGACGATTTCTAGGGGTTGCCCACAGGGAGGAGTTCTTTCTCCCCTGCTGTGGGATCTGGTTATTGACGAACTCCTGAAAAAACTAAACAATGTAGGAATTTACTCACAGGGGTATGCAGATGATGTTGTCATTCTAGTAGAGGGGCAGCATCCTGAAATTATTTCAGACTTGATGCAGAGAGCCCTGAAGATAGTAGAGGGCTGGTGCAGAAAGGCAGACCTCAGGGTCAATCCTAGTAAAACTGCACTTGTGGCCTTCACGAAAAAGAAGAAACTGGACAAACTAAAAGTTCCCAGACTTTTTGACACACAGCTAAGTATGACACAGGAGGTTAAGTATCTGGGAGTAACCCTAGATGCTAGGCTAACCTGGAATACTCAACTGCGAAAAACTGTCAGCAAAGGCAAAATGGCACTAATGGCTTCTCGGAGAGCGATTGGTAACACATGGGGACTGAAACCACGCATGGTACATTGGCTGTATACTGCTGTGGTGAGACCAATGATTGTATATGGATCGCTTGTCTGGTGGCCTAAGACTGAACAGAGATCAGCTATAATGGAGCTTTCAAAACTCCAGAGATTAGCTTGTCTCTGCATCACAGGTGCTATGCGCAGCACTCCTACCGCTGCTATGGAAACCATACTCAATATTCCACCTCTTGAAATCTTCATCAGGGCGGAAGCGAGGATGGGGGCATACAGACTGGAGTGTACCGGCAACTGGTATGCTCGGGGTGACTCCCTGGGACATACAAAAATAATCAGCCAAGTTTCAAGCCCACTAATGGACATGGGAAGGGACAAAATGCTGCCTAGAAATAACTATTACAGACCCTTCAACACTCAGCTCTACTGGGATGAAAGGGTCTTGACTAACTGTCAGGAAGGCACGTTAGTATGGTACACTGACGGTTCTAAGACTGATGAAGGCACGGGAGCCGGAATATATGGAGATAGACCCAGAACCAGGATGTGTGCTTCCTTGGGGAGGTATGCTTCAGTATTCCAGGCAGAGGTGCATGCTATTGAGGCATGCCTGAGAGAGAATATAGTAAGAGGATACAGAGGTAAACAAATCCTCATATGCTCAGATAGTCAGGCGGCCATTCAATCTCTAACATGCAATAAAATCAGATCAAAATTGGTCTGGGATTGCCTTCAAAGCCTGCTAACCCTGGCTAACCACAACAAGGTAACTCTTCAATGGGTGCCAGGGCATAAGGGAATTGAAGGCAATGAAGCAGCTGACGCTCTTGCCCGGCAGGGGTCTGCGACGTTGTTTATGGGGCCGGAACCTGTGTTCGGTATCCCCAAAACCTCAATTCGCGGCTGGCTGGCAAGGTGGATGCAAGAAAGACATCAGGCATACTGGAACAATGTCCCAGGACAAAGACACAGTAAACTAATGGTTGGAACACTGTCCAAAACAGTGACTAACGACATTCTGAGCCTAAACAGAAGTCAGATCAAACAAGTGACGGGACTAATAACCGGTCACTGCCCCTTGAGGAAACATATGCATCAAATGGGCATCTATACAGACGAACCCATATGCAGACTATGCAATGAGGAGGAGGAAACTGCCACCCATGTAATACTGGAGTGCGAAGCACTAGCGCGTTGGAGATACAACCTTCTGGGAGCAGTAAACTCTCAAGAGGCATTTTCAAAGAATGATCTGGTGAAGAGGCTGCTAAACCTCATCAAGGTTGCGAACCTGTTCACCTAAGTCAACAGCATGATCAGGAATACAATAGGCCCAAAGGCTGCAGTGTTTTGGGCTTCAAACCCTGACTGATCATTCTGCCATTAATCAATCAATCAATCAATCAATTGGGGAACGCCGGTTACCGAGATCATTGCAAACCGTTATTCAAAAATTTGAATATTCTAAGTTTACCTTCGGCCTTCATCTTACAATGTGTCATGTTTGTAAAGGAAAATGAGAACTCTTCATCTTCGAATTCATCCTACCATAATTATGATACTCGGAACGAAAGATCCTTGAGTATACCCTACCCACCTACTTCAAAAAACGCAACAGCCAATTAATTATACATCTCTCAAGTTTTTTAACGAATTGCCGATTGTTCTGAAGAATGCACCGACCAGAAAATTCGAAGCAGCACTTGTGAAAATTTTACTGAACAATGCCTTCTATTCACATGATGAATTTCTTGACTTCTCCTTTAACGAGACACCACTGTGATTTTTATTTTCATTTTTTAATTGTCAAGACTAATATTGTACTTTTTGATATTATATGTACATGACAACCTAAAATGTATTCTAAACATAACTGGGGCTAATAAATTATTATTATTATACACTCACCCAGCGCCCTGCTCTGCGCCAACAGCGAAGCCACCGTGTTCTTCTTCGGCTTGCTCACGCCCCTGCCCAAGTTCCTCGGTCTGCCCTCCTTCCCCTGCATGCCCGCCCCGCTTCCTCCGCCCCCACCTCCCCCGCCTCCTTGCGCGTTCGAATTGCTCGCGCTCGACGTCGAGCTGCCGCCGTCGGAGCCCTCGTTGCGACTGGGCGGGCGCGGCGAGTCGGCGCCGCAGAAGAGTTGCGCCAGCGAGGCGGGCGGCTGGGGTGGCAAGGAGACGGTGGGGGCGGCTGGCGGCAGGGGCGGCGAGGGAACGTGCGACGAGGGGATGCAGCGGCGCGGTTTCGGGCCGGGCTTCCTGCGAGCTGAGGACAGACACACGACAATTATTACTCCACATGCCCCAAGATTGCAAAAAAAAAACACTTTTTGTACAGGCTCAATGGTAAAGTTCCTTTTTTTTCCAAGTTGGCTATTTACAAATCTATAATAGCACCTCACTTCGATTATTGTGGAACCGTTTAATTTTTTCTTAATAATGACCAGTTGAATGTATTTTTTGGATGTATGATAAATTGACATTCATCATACAGGACGTGGAAAGAAATTCTGAATTGAGAAAAACCTGATCACGAATCTGCGATTGAGGTCTAAGATAGAATTCCTTTTGCGAGTCAAGCGTCACCGAGTGCGTCACTGACTCAACCTCTACACAATAAGATATCATCAAATTTAACAAAGGAAATTACCCTTTTCGAAAATGGTGACAACCAAGGTACATATCTTCTAACAACTATACCACCCACTAGTGTAGAATATGAAAGTATTTTCCGCAGTGGTACCATGGTTCAGTCAACACTGTAAGTAGGGTCCCTTGATGGACATTGACGTTAAAGTCATCTTAACAGGGTACGGACAGATCCTCGTCTCCTCTCACTCTAAAGTGTTTGTGAAACAGTTATATAGTTCCATCCTTATTCAATTCTGGGGATAAACACTAGATTTTTGACATTCGTTGTTTTTTAGGTTATATTGAGGTCACTGGCGTATCATACGTAATTTCCATATGGAATTCCTGATTCAACTATACCAAGATATAGATGAAAAGTCCTCTAGATTTAGAGTTTACTACTCCAGCATAATCTTTGCGAGGTAGGGAACATATAAATTGTACTGAAAGCTTAATATATTTCACTAAAAGAGACTGTTCTTAGACTGTATATACTAGGGTTGATGATTTCAAGCTGAGCAGTAGTTTATCTATGTTTGAAAATTGTAATTGCTGGTTCAACTTGATAATAGGGAAATGGTATTGGATGAATGATAACGACCAACGACGTGAATAATTATAAACTGTGGACTGTATTTTATCAATTGTATTTGACAATCGTGACAATATGTTGACAATGTATGTTATTATTATTTTCTATAGTTACAACAACAAGAACAAACGATGCCCGTTGAGAAGAGGCGCGAATGCGTAAGCATAGTTGCCAGAGTGGACTGAATGTATTCGAAATACTGAAAAAGTTCTAACATAGCCCCCCCTTTGAAGGGCACCTTCAAATGAATCAACAGAAAATCAACAATAAATGATATGTTATGCACATATCCACATGTAATTTCCATGCACTTGATCAAAAGTTAATTATGAGTCTCTTCCTGCGATGGCAGCAAACATAGATGCCTAATGGACCGGGTAACCGTCCCTCGCTGTGTTGTGACCTCTGCTACACGATTCAAGCCATCTCTTCCTGTGAACAATTTTGCAATTCGTCCTAATGGCCACCTACAGGGTGGTTGGTGGTCATTTTTTATCAGAACCAGTTTTCCAATAGTGATAGGTTTTGGTGTGCCTTTCCATTTATAGCTTTGGTGCAATTGCGACACATATTCTTTGGAAAATTGACGCCAGAATTGTTGATACAGTTGCTGGACATGTTGAAGTCTTGATAGCCGATTCACTGGAGTCTTCATCAGATTATGGTCAGGAATAGAAGTCAGGACCCGACCAATCAGGAAATGGGAAGGGGTGATTGGAGAAAGATCATTCGGATCGTTTGACAATGAAAATAATGGTTGCGAGTTTAGGATTCCTTCAACTTGTACAGCTAGAGTATTGAACTCTTCATATGTGACATTACGGTTAACCAATATGCGTTTCAAATGATGTTTTGCACTTTTCACTGCGGCCTCCCACAACCCGCCATGATTGGGAGTGTAAGGGGGAATCAAATTCCACTTGATTTGAAATTGACTGGTCATTTCATCGATAGAATTTTGATTTTGTGAAAGGAACTGACCTAATTTACATAATTCGTTATTTGCACCTACAAATGTACTACCATTATCAGAATAAATAACTGATGGTATGCCGCGCCTGGAAGTGAATCTTTTGAGACACGATAAAAAGTTATCTGTAGTTAAATCTGTGATAACTTCCAGGTGTATTGCTTTCGTGCAAAAACAAACAAAAACTGATAAATAACATTTCACTAGTATTGCCCCTCTTCCCTTTTTATTCAAAATAGAAAAAGGACCGGCATAATCGATGCCGACAATTTCAAATGGAAGTTTAGGTTTTATTCGTGTATCTGGCAAGTTAGACATTGGACTTGAAAAAGGTACTGGATTAAACTTGAAACATATCAAACAATCTTTCACTACCTTTTTTGCTAACACTCGTCCTTTTATTGGCCAATAGAATTGCCTTACTGAAGCTAACAGTAGTTGAGGGCCGGGATGAAGTAACTGTTTATGTTTATGTTCGAAAATTAATTTAGTGAAATTATGATTTGATGAGAGTAGAATTGGATGTTTGACATTGAAAGGCAAATATGTATTACTCAATCGTCCTCCTACTCTTATAATTCCTTCATTATCCAAAAAAGGCGCTAATGAAGAAAGTTTGTGTTTTTGATCAAGAGGTTTACCTTTTTTTAACGTAGTCAATTCGGATGAAAGTGATTCCAATTGAACTTGTTTTATTAAAATAGTGTTAGCATTCTCTAGCTCTGAAACAGTTAATAAACCAACTATTTTGTGTTCCTTATTTCTTAAATTACTGATAAACCGCAGGCAGTATGCAGTGACGCGTTGTAATTTTAATAAACTGGAAAATCTCAAAAACAATTCAAAAGTTACATGTTTCTCGACAACTAATACAGTGGAAATCTTCTTCATTTCGGGCAAATTTGCTTTACAAATGATAAAATCAATATTCGGCCACTGTGCGATAGGTAATAATAGAAAATCAAGTCCTTTCCACCACAGAGTGCTAGAAGTTGAATTTTCAGGCATGACACCTCGAGATGCCAGATCTGCTGGATTATCCTTGCTATTAACGTACGTCCACGTACCAATTTTTGTAAAAGATTGTATTTTAGCTACTCTATTGGCGACAAAAACTTGTAGCTCACTAGGTTCGGTGTGAATCCAACTTAGGGCTACTTGAGAATCGGACCACATGAAAATAGGAACATTGATGTTAAGAGCATTTTGTACGAGATTGATTAGCTGCGCTCCCAATAAACAAGCACAAAGTTCAAGCTTAGGAATCGTAATAGTTTTGAGTGGAGCAACCTTCGTTTTTGAACAAAATAAATGCACAATATAATTACCTAGACCATCAACGCTGCGTAAGTACACGCATGTTGAATACGCCACTTTTGATGCATCAGAGAAACAATGTACATCAACTAAATGTTCCGAAATAATATTGCGAGGAATAGTAATTTGGTTCAAGTGAATGAGATTATTCCTAAAGTGTAGCCAAGTTTTTTCTAAGTCTAAAGGAACTGGACTATCCCAAGATAAGTGAAGTGACCAAAGTTGCTGAATCAGAATTTTACACAGAACAATAGAAGGGCTCAAGAGACCTAGAGGATCATAAATTTGTGAGATAATTGATAAAATGTACCTTTTAGTAGTAGGCTTATGGTCATCAAACTGCTTTATATTATATTTTAGTATGTCAGACTTGTTCAACCATTGGATTCCTAACGTTTTACAACTGTCCAAATCTCCGATATTCACAACAGAGTTGGATATATCAAGTTGCGCAAAATCTGAAATAATTTGATAATCGTTTGCGTTCCACTTGCGCAAAACAAATTTAGCTGAATTCAAAATATCAAATATATTTTGACATCTCACCTTCAATTCTAACAAATCATTGGAGCCAGTTAATAAATCGTCAACATACATGTCATTTAAAATAGTGTTGCTTGCAATTGGAAATCTATCAATATGTTCTTGAGCTAAAGTTCGAATGCATTTTATTGCTAGGTATGGTGCGGCTCTCGTACCGTAGGTAACTGTATTTAATTGATAAATCGAAAAATCATCATCGGGATTTTCGCGCCATAAAATTTGTTGTAAGGGTCTATGCTCTGGATGAATCAGTATTTGTCTGTACATCATTGAGATGTCAGCTGAAACTACAAAACGATAAGTTCGAAACCTCAATAAAATATCAACAATGTCATTTTGAACTTTCGCACCAACATACTGTAGATCATTAAGTGACCAACCTGTAGAGCTTTGACAACTGCCATCAAAAACCACTCTTAGTTTTGTAGTGATACTTGTTTCTTTCAAGACTCCGTGGTGTGGCAAGTAGTAGTTCAATTGAGGCTCTTCAGATACATATGTCATATGACTCAAAACTTTATACTCATTGATAAAGTTGAAATACATTTGTTTAAATTTGGAATCTGAGAATCTTTTTTCTAAACATTTAAATCTTTTAAGTGGAACAGACTTAGACTCTCCCAATAGTTCTGGAGAATGTTTCAATGGAAATTTTACCACAAATCGTCCATTTTCATCCCGAAATGTATCTTTATTGAACAGAGATTCACATACAGTGTTATCATGAGATAGAAATTCATTTTTACCTATAGTTTCCTCTATCTCCCAAAACTTTTTCAATTGATCATCTTCGGGATCACGAATTTTCATCAAATTGCAAATAGACTTTCTTGAATTAATGGAAATGGTGCCAGTAACTATCCAACCAAATTGTGTGTTTATCAGTGTTGGAAGATTATTACCTAATTTTATTGTACCCTCCAATAACAAATCCCAAAATATACCAGCACCCA